GCACTTCTAGACTGTCGTAGTTTGCCATCATTATACTGTAGCCCTACATTTAAGCACGTAGGTTGATGTTGATGATGGTGCATTGTGTTGCAGGTGTAGTCATACAGCTTCTCTTGTTTCAAGTGCATTCACACACTCAGGCGCTTGTATGTTTTATGAAATTGTAGCAGGCACAATTATATCCTTTATAGCCAGTAGCTGTGTAAAAACTAGAGGCAGTGGATTTAGCAAGATGACGTTTTCAAAATGTTATCTACCAGTTAACTCCATACAAAGTGCAGTAAATAAGAGTTTCTCATCCTTGGCAGGAAGATTGTTCCAGGCATGTCTGAGAACTTTCACAAAGAAAGTCTCACTATCTCACTGTCTTTGTAACGCTAGAATCAAAGTCAATGTATCAGATTTGACTAGTGATTCCATACATGCAAATTTTGTCTCTCTTGGCATTAATATTAAAGTTATTTTAAATGATGCTGCCCGGATGAGTGCCTGGAGATTTTACTGAGATGGTTGACACATGGAAAGATTTTTGTTCTAGAAGGACTTTGCCCCGAACTGATGGTGTAATTTTGAAATTCGGACTATGGGAGCCAGACCACCTGTTGGAGGGTTTTTTGTCTTATTTCTGGTTGAATACAGTTTGAATACAGTTTGTATTCAACCTCATTTGTGACTAGTTCGAGTAATACTGTGTAACTTATAAGAATCTACACATCAAAAGGATATAGCACTTTAGGCAAAAAAGTTTTTGTTTTTTTTTAGCATTACAGGCCTGGTGTTTAAAGGGGAAATACAGGCAGAGTAATGTTGAAAGTGGCGTGTTGCATAAAGTTAACACACTTATGTCCACAGCCACTGGGGTGGGATGAGGTAGCCAGGTAGTTTGGTAGGTGTGGTGTAAGGTTCCCCTCTGTGGTCTCTGTCATTGTTTTGTGGCCAGATGGCAAAGCCACGTCTGGAGCTGCTCATGCTTTATTTATTAACGGCACACAGAAAGCTGGGCTACCAGAGAGTGCTTGTCTTTTGTCTGGAGTCTCTTTATCCATCTAAACTGACTCATCTACTCTAGGGTGGCAGCCCCAACCACACGGGACTGTGCTGGTGGTCAGTATTTGAAAGCTTTGTTCATTTGTTATGTACAGAACATTACTTCCTCCCCTCCCTTTTTGGCCATCTTGAAATTGTGGTAGAGTAACATATGAACCGCTGGGGTTGTGGGATTGTACTAAAAAAATGGAGGAGGGTGCGATAATATTATCAGTTAAAAGGGTTTTCCTTTAGCCTCTTTAGTGTGTAAGCTTTGAATTTTAACCTTAGACATTTTAACCGGTTCAAAGTCACTTGCCGGGCTGGCTGCCCTCTCTTTGTTAATGAAAGCCCTAAATGAGGAAGGGGGAAAGTAAACTGATGACTACCGTGCCAGCCAGCATTGTTCTGCAGGTGTAAAAAATAAATAAATAAATAAATAAAACTGCATGACTGTTCTGGATATTCTTCAGCTACCTCTCTAGAAAGTACTAACGCGCCACCATCTCAAACCACACTACTGTGGTAGTCTTTGCTTGCCTTGGACATGTAGTTTGTTATATAATATTACTTGATAAATAATTTTTAAAAAGTGTGGTTTTACCTTCTCTCACTAATGGGTCTAAGTGTTTACGAAACACTTAAAGCACATGCTGCACCTCATAGTGGGACACGCTGTTATTATTAACAACCAAACCCAATATCTGTTATTGTAGGATCTTTACTGTACAGTATAAGGTGACTTTTTGTGATTTAGTGCTATATAAATTCAACTGAATTGAACTGAATTGAACAAGGGTCTTCCCATTAGACCCATTAGACCTGTTGCTGCACCTGCACCATCACTCTACAGTCTAGTTTTAGTTTTATTATTGTTTTTCAGGGATCATGCACAAAAACATTCACCTGATTTAGCTTTTAGCTTATGTACTTCTGCACTTCCTGGACAGGTACACACAGGGTTAAATAGGCTATAAAACAGAAGTATATATCCAACATATAAGATAAAAGTCAAGTGATATAATCAAATACACATACACAACCTAAAACCTCTCAACCCTTACCTACACCCACAAAAAACATACACATTGTAAAACCTTGCTATGTTAAAGCATCCTCCCATTTAATACTATAGAAGAAGTTCAGGATTGTCATTATATTATTATTTTGTAATTATGCAGCTTTCCAGTAGCTACAGAATTTCAGGCACCTATGATAAACCTGGGTTTAAATTCAAACTCATTTTTGGCACATGCTGACTTTTAGCACTTTACACACAACAGCCCAAATCACAAAGTGCTTTTGCACCATGAACTGTGAGGAATTAGGTGAAGAAATAATGAATCCAGTCAGTTTTCTCTTCCTGGAGCTTTTGGCTGTTTATCTAACAGCAGCACTTGAAGGCTAGGGTGATTACAGTGAGCCATTTGGGGATTTAGGTCTGTCTCAGGTGCACCAAGCCTTTAAAGAGCTGCTGCTGAGCGATAACTAAAGAAAGATTGTTTAAATCTGGTCAGAGCCTTCCTGCTATAACAGATCCATGCTGATCTAGCGTCCTTCCGTAACGGACTGAAAAATACTAAAAACACTAAATAAAGAGAATATAAAATGAAAAATGTATAAAAATTATTATAGAAAGATACAGAAGCAGTGCTAAGACTATTTTTAGTAAAATAACAGAGGAAAAATTATTACTTATAAACAAATATTTTATGGTAATTAAGAGGAACATGAGGGTGGCTGAAAGCAGCTCCAGTCCAGCTGTATGAGTCAGTGTAAACACATGATTAAAGTCTGATATTTTCCTTGTCTTTTCAAGCATTTTTCCGCTGAGACTGTTCGAGAAGGTGTGTGTGTGTGTGTGTGTGTGTTTTCCATGCTTGCGCTTGTTTGCTCAGTCTGTGTGTGCTCTGTCTGCTCCTCAGTTCTTCAGAAAGGACCAGGGGGATTTCTTCATCGGCTGCTTGTTTCTAACAGAGCTCAGCACGCCCTTCGTGTCCCTGGGGAAGATACTTATTCAGGTGAGATGGCACATGCACATGAGCATTCACCTGAAACAAACTCTGAAGTCCTTTTCGTGGTAAATACGTATGTCTGTAGATATCATAGAGATGCAGATCTTTTGCTGTGTAGTAGCGGAGCAAACAAAGTTGTAAAATTATTTGCCAAACTTCTACTTCTGAGCAGGTTAGCAGCTGCAAATAGACTCGGGCCTGCCCAGCTTTGCATTGCTGCAAGGAGTGCATTAATCCAGGGGCCAAACACAGCGCAGTTTTAAATGAAGTGAGCCAGACCAGTGAAGCTATTACTTTTTCTTTTTTTTTTCTCTTTTTGAAGACACCCTGGGATGTCTTAAGAGAAATAAGTATAATTTTTAAGTACACATCTCAGTTTTTCTATGTTATAAACAAATATTACTGTAGAAATTTAAGAAACCCACAAGCACAGCTGATTAGGCTCATATTGTAAGAAATAAAGTACTATTTTATATTATATTAATAACAGAAATTCTGAGTAAAAAAGAGAACAGTGAAAAAGAAACTTTTCTGTTATGAAATTAAATACTAAGAACTCTTTTTTTTTTTCTATCTTACTTGGTTGCTTTGGCATAAGGCACAGGCCACAGATGATGTCTTTGTAGGTAAAAATACAGTTAAAGACTTTATGCCCTCCTTCTTTGACATATGGCAATAATTTGACAACTATCTACCAGTTTACTGGTTAGTATAAACCTTTAAAAGTGGTTGCTAACACATAGACTAACATTAATATCTTTGGAGACGTGTGATTATTTGGCACTAAACTCCCCTTGACAAAAACCCCCAAACTCTTCAACGGGAAAATCCATCCTCTGACAACAAAAAGAAGAACGCTTTGAATTTGCTGTGCAGTTTTGAAGTAATGTTAAAATTCACACACAAAACTCACCAGTTACAAAAATATAAAAAAACATGAATGAACTCCATTGTTCACAGTAATTTAGAGAAGTAGACCAAAAGCAAGGTTTGTTGTTTGTCTTCTATTGTCTGGTTCACACAGGCCTAAAGACCAGTCAGGGACCCTCTCGATGCTCGTAATCACCAGACACTTTGGTCATAGTTTGCATGAAGTATGCTAACTTGTCTGCAAACACTTGCCAACCTCCTAAGTGCCCGCACCTTTTGAAATGTGTTTATTTTGAAGGCCAGCAATCTGTTTCCAGTTTGCAGTTTGAACTTTTTCAACTTGCCCTATAGCTCGGTGGTTAGTTCACAAGTGTTTGTAGGCAAGTTATGGCTATACATATCATGCTTACTACGGGTCACCGTGAGAGTCTAATTTGACCTCGCAACAGCCAGCAACCACTTATGGAACATAAATTTCCCTCAGCAAGTGGAGGTTAAATTTTATTTTATTTTATTTTTGATTGCAGTTTTTTTAATTGTGATTTGTCTTCGATATTATTATAATCGTTTGTCTTCTGAATATAACCAAGCAGAAAGACTTTTGTGTGTAGTGGAATTTGTTTGAAGAGAATCTTTCACAGGTCACTCTAACATCTTCCCAGAATGTTTTAATCATTGTACCAAACACAGTCAACAGTGCTGAACAAAAATATGCATATTTAATAAGTATAAGGAGGAGAAAAGTGGAAGAATTCAAACACAGACAGTGGGCCATTGGATTCAGGCTTGAATAAAAACAAATGAAAACATGGTTTAACTAATAATTAGCTGCGGTTGAAGACAAAGGTCAGTGGTGATGGAGGAGACAGCCAGTCTGTCCCCACTGGCCACTCATAACCAAATGAGTAAGGTTAATAATCAAAAGAAATAATGACCAGAAGGCACACAGTTGTAACATGCCACTCTTGAGTGAGTGATTTGTACTTGTGTACTTTTACAAAAGTACACAAGTCATAAACCTTTTTTACTCAACTCACTCTTCTTGCTTCCTCCACGTCCGTAACATTGATTCATTAATGTTGAATTCTCTCGCAGCTGCTCTATTCGCATGTTGTTCCAGTATATTAATGACTAACCTGTATCGTGAATGGATTACCTCAGTTGTTCTCCTGACTGAAGTTTGGTCCGTTTATAGCATCCTGCCATGTGATAGCATTTGTCCCTAACCATCAGAAACCCCCTGTTAACTTTTATCGAGTGGAAAAACGTTAGCGTTCATCCTCCAGCTTCACTGTGTTTATGTTATGCTAACATAGCTGTGTAGCTAGCGATCACGTAGCACATCATTATATACCAGCTAGTACAACTTCAGTAACCCTACAAACGTCACAGCTGTTTAGTTTTCTGTCTTCATTTATGTTGGAAGTGATAGCAGAGTTGTACGTTTAATTTTTTAATTTTTTCAGAAATCTCTCAGTCAGAACATGCTATATCATGTTTAGGTGGAAACTAGCGAGCTAACTTCCTGTTAACTTCTAACACTGTTAAATTTAATAAATTCTGTTTTCATGGATGCCTGGATGTTAAACTAATTGTTACACCTGGTAAAGCAGCAAAACTGATCATTTTATTACAGATGAAAGAGTTTAGACAGTTTTTAAACTCTCAGTGATGCCGCAGTGTTCCTTTGACTTTGGGACCTGAAGAGGACTGAGTTTTGGACCCAGATTACTCCGTGAGGCTCCTGACTACGGTAGCCGTAATGCTCAGACACCATCAAGAGGTGCGGCTTCGTAGTCTACCAAAGTCTGATAGATTTTTGAGCGCCGTGTACCACATAAAATCGGTTCGAGGTCTGTAAACACAACCAGAATTCATACATAAGGCGCTCAATCAAATTCATCATTATAAAGCGCACTGTCGATTTTGAGGAAATTAAAGGATTTTAAGTGGCTTAAAAACAAAATAGCAAATATTAGATGACACTAGATCCCTAATTCAGTGTGCATAACAACCTCAAACATACACAGAAAAGGTTCCCCAACATTTTCAGATCGCTGTTATTCTGAAGAAATCTCTGTGTGCAACAGACAAAGTCACAAGTCAGCATTGGGTACCTGTGATCTTCAGGCTTTCAGGCAGAAATGCATTAAATGCAAACATGATTCTGCCATGGAAATCACTACATGGGCTCAGAAATCATTGACCATGAACACAATCTGCTATAAAATCCACAAATGGTACGTTTTCCCAGCTGAAATATTTCAAATTTTTTCTATGTTGTATTGTAAATAAAATCTGAGTGAATGATATTTGCATCCGAATTTAAACAGCATCCAGCTGTCCATGAATTAGCGTTGTTTTTCAGATAAATATTTATTCATCACTGTATTTTTTATACACTTAGACACACATAAATGTACCGTATATACAGTTTGATATGAACTTAAGCAAAACAGCCTTAGCTCTCTTAACCAAAACAAAGCCATTCATCTTTTCTCCAAACTGTTCCTGCACAGGTGATCTGCAGAGCACTGCAGCAGCAAAAACCCAAGTATCTCCATTTCATTTGGGATGTTGCTTGTCACTGTTCTATCAATAATTAAGCTGCATGGCTCACCAAAAAAACCCACATCAGTCAGCAGCATTCAGGCACCGCTTGCTCTCCCTGCCCCTGAATTGATCTGTTTCAGCTAATGTTCATTAGTTTCGCCATGCAAAGAGCTCTATAGCCTACACTTTAGTAAAAGGGCCCAGTGTCTTACAAACCATCCTTTCTAAGAATAGAAGAGCCTTACTGTGTAGCTCAGTGAAACCAGTGGACCGTGGACTCTCAGGTCTTTGCTGACATCTGGTGTCGGTGGGCAAAAAGAGCAGAGCAATTCTTCACTGCTGACCACTTTTAGACTTAGTCAGCACTAACAGAAACCGCACCAGACAGTTTTACTGCTCTCATCAGCAGTGCTGACTGCTGTTGTGTGGAAAAGGGAACATCCAGTCTTTCAAATTAAAGATGAGAAGATCCCAGATCATATGATTTTTGTTGTTGGATGTTATGGCCCTGTTTTCCTGTCTCAGTTTTCCTATCCCTTTGACTGAGAAAAATAATTATGGGATTTGGTGGGGGGGTTGTTTTTTTTTTTGTTTTTGTTTTTTTTGACAAAATGTAGTAACCTTCTCAACTACAAGTTAAGCTTTAACTTAACTTTAAGCAAGCAGCAGAAATGGAAAATATACAATAATAAAGTTTTCCTTATTTTATTTGCTTACTTCAATAATGGATGAAATGTATCAAAAGAATTAAGCAGCAGAATAATAAATTAAAACTACTAAGTAGATACTGTGGCTTAATTAAAAGTATAGTATATAATGTCTATAAAGCAAGCTCAGTCATTAGCATGGCTGAAGAGTGATAGGTTTAAGCTACAAACCTATTTGCTGGAACGTTCAAGATAATTTAATTACACAGCAAAGCAAGACACGAGTAGGCAAAGTTCTTTATGTTTCTCGTGCACGGGAGAGAACTGGGCAAACGCCGTTCCTTCGCTCGACCCCAGTTGCTCTCATCTGCTCCCCCGTAACACTGCTCTTTTATTGTATTTATTTTACATGAATATGCATAAGTTCATTAACATACGACGTCTACATACAAACAAAGAGTACCTTGCCTGTGTGTTGTGTAAGTGTGTGTGTGAGTGTGGGGTCAGAGTGTGACCCCATAAACAACTTCGCTAACCCTGCTGGTTTGGAAGTCCAACAGTTCATCTAAACAAAAGGCACTTAGACTAAAACTGACATAGCTACGTTTATCCTACCATAAAACAATAAGAGAAGGTAGACCTCTCCCATGCTCCCAGGATGTGGGCGTGAATGCCAGAGCACTCTGGAATGCACACCAAGCCTTTGCAGACAATTAAGGATCACACATATCACTACACAATCGATTATACACCTCTAAGCATATATGGTTAAATATTTCTAAGCATAAATGACAATAAGCAATACAAATCGAACAAAGAGTTTTTAAGTTCTCTGCTTTCAGGTCCTCTGCCAGACTGTTAACACCGTTTCAGTGTATTAGGGTACAAAAGTGAAGCATGAAATCCCACAAATAATTAATATGCATCACACCAAAATGCTGTTAATGTTACTGAGTAAAAAGTGTTGCATTGTTCAACTACAGTAACCTACTTGTGCACAGTTTGAAGCAACTTTTCTGGAGTCTCTCCCAGCTGTCCAAGGGCGAGAGGCAGGGTACTTCCTGGACATGTCTCCAGTCTAACACTGGACAATTAACAATTAAAGATGTCCCGATACAACTTTTTCCTTTTCAGATTCAGGTATCTGCCAGAGTTAAAGTAATCCTCACTGTGAGGCTCAAGGTAAATGGTACTTTACAAACTTAAGAAAATGAAATTCGCCAAGAATATTAATTCCTTTGGGCTTCTGGAGACACCTGGGTGTCACACTGGTGAGGTGTTTGGGGCGTGTCCTACCAGGAGGAGGCCCGGGGCAAACACAGTACACCGTGGAGAGATTACGTGTGTCATCTGGTTTGGGAATGCCTCGGTGTCCCCAGCTCTACATGCACACCACACTTGTATGAATCATAGTTTCTAAGTTATAAGGCTTTTTGGCCATTTTTGATCAATAAATCATGAAGTTTACCTTCAAGACATTTGCAGATGTAAGACATATTTTAATAGACTGTTAACTCGACCCCTACTCTACACCCCTACAAAGATTTATCAGAATCCATTCAAAGCTACCACGTTTACAGGCAGAGTACCGAACATCCACCTGAAACCTAACCTCCTTGGGGGATGCCATAAAAGCCACTGATATAGTCAGTTAAGTAGCTCCAAGCTGCTGTCGCTTTGCTGTTACCTTCCTCCATGTTACGTTAGCACTCCCTGCTAATGACTGCTGCTGATGTGTGATAATAATAATAATGGATTGGATTTATATAGTGCTTTTCAAGGCACCCAAAGCGCTTTACAATTCCACTGTTCATTCACACACTGGTGGAGGCAGCTACCCTGGGATAGACTGACAGAAGTGAGGCTGCCATATCGCGCCATCGGCCCCTCTGGCCAACACCAGCAGGTGGCCGCCTGCAAAGTCATAAAGCGACTGAAATGAACGGATCAGGTGTGGATCAGCTCGTTGTCACTAAGCTTTGTGAGTCAGGATCAGACCGCCACATCAGATCAGTGCGTCCCCAGTTAGAAATGCCTGTTAACCTGACATGCATGTCTTTGGACTGTGGGAGGAAGTTGGGGTAATCTCTAATAGATCTCTGGCCTCACATTGGAGTACAGGTCTGCTTTTTACAGACCCAAATGTATATGTGTGGATGAGTCATCAAAAACAGTTGTAGTTTGGAAAATGTGTTTTCGCTGTGCTCTCTGAACGCATCTCTTCATCTGCAATTCCCTTTTTTCTCTTTTCTCTCCTCCAGCTCAGCCTCCAGGACTCCTGGCTGCACAAGCTCAATGGCGGGATGGTCCTCTTCACCTTCTTCATGTGCCGCATCGCCCTCTTCCCGTTCATGTACTGGATGTACGGCCGTCACTACAGCATCCCTCTCTACAGCGTGCCCTTCCACCTGCCGCTGTCTGCCAACCTGGGCAACTCGTGCATCTTGGCGCCGCAGGTCTACTGGTTCGTCCTGCTGTGCCGAAAGGGCTACCGTCTTTACCAGCGCAGCCGCAGCCCGGCCTCGTCTCCCACGGCCGACACCGCCGCTGTCACTGACAGTTCAAAAGATGATTGATACGCGGACCACGACCGCTTGCTCTAGCCACACACTCAGCTACTAACGCTCAGCCCAACCATCGTACTGTAGTACACCAGGACTGCCTGCTCTCGTTCCACAACTCCCGGGCATTTTCCGCACACTTCAACCAACTCCTCTGCCTACGTGGACCTCTCCACCTCCAATCTAACTCTACTACTGAAGTTTAGTGATTTTAATTTTTTTGGGATGTGACTCTGGCCTGGATCTCGCTGAAGTGCTTCACTGTGTCTGAATACATTTACAGCACTGAAAAAAGAAGAAGAAGGAAAAAAAAAAGATCATGTTTGCTGCACTGCAAGTGAAATGTGGAGCAAACGTACCAGAAACTAAAGAGGAGATACGATCCTTACTCCTACTGTTTACAGCTGCTGATTGGAAAGTCATGTTACAGTGTATGTTTGTGGGTGTTATGGCTGGTTTTCATTTAAGAGTAACATGTCAGATAGTTGGATTTCTTTTCAGATCATTTTATTTGTCACGCTGGTGACAAGGATTGGGGCCTGTGGTGGGCGGCATGGAAGTTCAGGCAGTATTAGCAGAGATAGGAAATGAGGAATACGCGTCACCAAGCAGTTACATCGTTACCTGGTTAATGTGATAGCCCCTGACTTTTCACCAGTTTCTCATAGTGCACGCAATTACCTACACTCTTATTTTCATCAGTGTTTCCACCCTTCTTTTTCAGGTTTATAGTTTTCCATTATCTGTAGGGAACTATTTTTGACACCATGATTGATTAAGAAATGGCCTCTCTCACACAGGGTTTTTTTTTTTTTGTTGTTTTTTTTAAAGAAAACAGTAATATTGTAATGTCTTGCCCTGAAATAATTTTTTCTTAGGTGTGAAGTTCAGCTCCTAGGCAGATAAAATTTTAAAAAATCATACCTGGTTTAAATTTGGTCGAGGTCATCTTCTCATGGAGTTTTTCCTAAATTTAAATTCTGGATACTTCTACTTGTTCCTCCTCGATGTGTGGTGGCTCTCCTGCAGTGGATCCAAACTGTAACTGCTTAACTTTTGTTTTGTGTTCTCAGTTAAAATGGGGAGCATCGACCACATAAGTGACGCCAGCACTAAAGTACCACACCGTCTTTAATTGGCCACCAGGAGACGACTTTTCTGGGTGCAGAAAGACTTGGAGGGAGGGATTAGCCCTCACCTCACTTTCTCTTCGACCGCAATGCTTTCCTGACGACTTTATGGGCTCAAGCGCTAGTTTCAGGGTCAAATTTTATAGTCAATCTAAGGGCCTGAAAGAAGGATTATCCAGGATGTGATCACTTGCTCCGCCGCTCTCTCATCACATCTGGTTTTAAAATAACAAGATTGCGACAGCAGGAGCTCTCAGCTTGTAGTTTGATAATTTTGTGACGCAAGGGTTGGCTGTGGGGGGTGAAAAGGGGTAGACGGGAGAGGAAGTAAAACAGGAAATAACCAAATGAGAGGTAAACAAGAACTTTAAAAAAAAAAAAAAAGGGTTCAAACTAAGGATCCTTTTGGGACATTTTTCCCTTGTTGCTACACATCCTGCTCTTCTCACCAGTTATGATTCTTGACACAAAAGTTGGCTCAATTCAAAAGAAAACCTGACGTTTGTTCACCTTGAGGTTGACGGTAAGGTGTGAGTAGACAGGAAAGGACTTCCAGTGAGTGATTTAAAAAAAATAAAATAAAATAAATAGAAACAGGCCCCAACCGAGGTGAACAGTAAGATTAGACCAGTGAACTTTATGCCAGGTATGGTTTCTTTGGGGGGTGGGGGCTTCTGTTCAATGCTTCTGTTTTTTGCCTCTAAACGTCACTCAGTCCAGTCTGATGGCGTGATGTGGAAGGTACCATGAGGCCCGGTGAAGGTCAAGCGGCTCCCAGCTGAACTCAGGGGCAAGGTCAGAGTGATAAATGGAGGGGTGTGGCTCATCGGGCCAAACAAACCACAAATAATCAAACAAATACTTCAGATTATTTATATACACTTGTGTATCAGGGGTTGCACTCATCACATAGGGGTTTTTAGAGTTACATTAACTATCACTTAAATTAAATACATATCTTGACTAGAATAGAGAGGATCATTTTATTGTGCAAAATTCCAGTTATTATGAAAGAAATGAAACTTCTTACGAATTAATCAAATCAGAAAACAAAGAATTCTGCGTATTATGCATTAAATGTCCTTTTTTTTGTTTCCTGTAAATTCAGTCTATGCAAAACAAATGTTGGTGCATGTATAACTGAACTAACATCAGGTCATATCAAGCTCACCCATCCCTCATATGATGTGCTCTTTGCACAGTTTTCTAGGAATCTGTGTTTATCTCTGCTCTACATTTCAGTCTTATTACTGAGTCTTAGTTTTAATTTTTTTATTTATTTATAATTGCGTAACGATTAAAAATAACTTCATATTCATTGTTAGTTTGTTTTAGTGCACATGGACACATTAGAGCTGAATCAAAACTCACTAAAAATCCATTTAAATGGAACGTGGCGCAGCTTACAGCTAACAGGCATGAAGCAAACCGCCTTATGTTAATCCAGAGTTTTTGTGTCTTTGCTTTAAAATCTAAATTGTTGTCTCCCTCTTTTTGGCAGCTTCCGCCAAGCTGTTGTATAAATGATAAAACATAATGTAACAGTAGTACAAGTTGGAGCACAGAAAGCTTCTGAACTCTTTTGCCCAGATTATTGATGGGATCAAAGTGACTGCTCGTGTTAGAAACACATTCTGCATGACAGCTCAAATATTTTCCCTCTGTGAGTCTGATCATCACAACTTGTTGTGAAGGGGGGAGTTAAAGAAGAAGCCTGTTAGCTGAGCAGCAGTTTGGGTAAGAGGAGGCGAGCCGGGCAGCTGAATGATGGGCTTGTTTGTCGAGGTTGGCTGGAGTGCGTCAGGGTGCTTTTGTTACTGCAAACATTCCTCGCTCTTTGTGTTGCTTTTCTGCATCTTTCAGCTGAATTTCTCCCACTTTCTCTTTTGATGATTCTAATAGTATTAAAGGAATTACGATATCAGTTTATCAGCTGTTATTTTTCTTTTTTACATACATGTAGAGGGTTTAAACATTCTCCAAATCCCAAAAAAAATCAGATCCATCCCTAGTTAAGGCAGTGAGTCTGGGCTACCTTAACTCTATGCAAGTAAAACCGCGCTTCTCAGCAAGTATTTACAAACAAGGTGTTTATAATCATGCTAAAGACAGAACTACAGTTCAGAATTGTGGATGTTTTTATCCCAGATTCAGGTTTCAGAACTTTACAACTCTCACGCACAAAAAAATAGAGTGCATCTAGTCTCTTACACTGCAAGGAGGTGTTAATAATAGGACGTTGTTGTTTCAGCACCCTACGCTGAAGAAGATGCGTCTCAGTGGACTATCTTCTTCCCCACTTAAATGTCTTCAGTGTCTGGTCTGCTTCTGGGATGACCTCTGAGATTGAGATTAATAAACTGGGCTTGAGTCTAACAGCTGGTTTAAAGTCTCCACTTTCACTGCAGTTATAATCAATAAGTTCCACTCTACTTAAAGTTACTGTCCCACTGTTTCTGCTCCTTTCATTTATTTTAACTCAGCCCCATCTCTTGGTTTGCTGTGAAGCTAGCAGAGCAGAATGAGCCCTCACCTCTTCTCTGCCGCCCTCTGCTGTCAGGCCCATCCATTGCTTGTCCACTCTGAAGGCTGTGCAGTTGAGATTAAATATCTCAAGTTTTCAGCCAGCGTGACCTCACCCTCCGCGAAATGTAGCGGAAAAAACTGACAGGTACATTTGTTTTCTTGTGTTTGGAGGAGGGGACAGAACAGAAAGAATTTTGCTGTGGGAAAGTGTGTGCTTTTTTTGTTTGTTTGGGGTTTTTGTGTGATACCCTAAAGTTGAGCCTGTCTTCATAGCTTGCATAAATGCCATCTTGTTGACTTTTTCCTAAGAGGACTTTTAGAAGATTGTTCTGAAGCTTTTTTTTGGCCTGGATTTGGCCTCTCTGCTAACAAGATGTTGAAGTTTAGTGGCTTCACTAATAAAATTCAGTCTTAGTTTTGAAAGCGTGGGAAAGATGTTTTAAAATGTTAAAAAATTAAAATATATAAACATTCCAGTATCCTTATATAAAACTGACCCCAATTTCAAAACCTCAAATCCTTTAACCGTTTTTCATCCCCTATTGGCTCATTTATTTTTGTTTTTTCATAGCCAGGTGACAACAAGCCACATTACTTTCATTGCTTGAGAGCATCACTGCCACATGAAATCATGAGTAGTTTAAATGCATATCTTTCTACATCTATCACTAAGTACGCTCTGATTATAGAAGACCATGAATTCATCCTCTTTGCTCAGGGTTTGATGAACTTGTTAGGAAACCGTGTGTGTAATGTCGAGGTTTACTGTAAGATGACGAAGCTATGAGACTGATTCTGAAGAGGATCACAGTGTGCTGTTTATTTCTATGTGATATTTTTCAAAGCATCAGTTTTCCTTTCAGATTTTTCTCATATTTATGCCTCCTGACATGGCTTGTGATAGTTCAGCTTCTAAGGGTTGGTAAACCAAAGACTGATTGCAGTAACTATAGTCAGATTCTTTTCAGTCTTGTCTTAATGGCTTAAAGTTACCCACATGTCACCCCAACTAAAAACCTAACTAACCTCCCATTTTGTCGTCCTCTCTATAAGCTCACCAACACTGGGATGTACTGGAGGAAAGCCTCTGCGTTCACACAAAGTGGACAGTGGATCAGTTTGTTAATTAAGGGAAAAGCTAATTTTTAGCTCCATAGCTTTATTCATAGGCTCCACCATAGTAGCTTTGCATGATTCACGGTTCAAAATCATCCTTGTTCTGTAACATTCAAGGGTAAATTTAAAAAAAAAAAATGTCTGAACGACATTTAACATGAGCACCATTGTTATGACAGAAAATCAGGAAAAGCACAATTGACCCCCATTAGTCATAAATTATTAATTATGTTTAATAGATGCCTCCCACCAGGTGCAATCTGCTTGAAATCAAAGCGGTTATCCCCGAGTTAAGGGTATTGCATGCCTAACCTCTGGGCAAAATTCAGTGCAATCACCAGGCATTGCTTTAATAATTCTACTTCAGTGTAACTGCAAGGTTTTTATCATTTTAATCTCCTTGATAATTACATAAGCAAGACGTTTCTGTTCATCAAACTAGACACTGATGTACTTGTCCTCTTGCTTTCCCACAACTTTTTCACTGTTTCTGTTCTGTTCAAGGCAGCTGTTTTCAGCTTTTCTGTTTTATACAAACTGTGAATCAATTGACTCTTGAGGTGTTTCAGAAGAAAGCTATTTCTCTTTGGCTGTTTTGCGACTGCAGCCTAAAGATTCTCAACAAAGGTACTTTGTTTCAAAGACAAAAGCATTTTGAAGTGACCCTAGACCTTTTGGGAGCAATGTGCTTCATCTTTTTAGCACAGTGGCTGAAAAGTCATTGCTAATGTTATGTTTGGACGCATTAATACGAAAATCATATTAACTTCTTATATGTAAGGTTGTATTTTAACCTTGGAACACCTGTTCTATGGTTAAACTGGGAATATGGTCATTTAATCCACCTTTGAACAACACTGGATCCATTGGACCAGGCTTATGCTAGCATAGGCTAACGCTCGTCTAAGCTAGTGGTAGCATAGGCTAATACCAGTGTAGTGCGTTCTATTGTCTTGGAAGTCTGAGCTGGGAGTGATGTCATTTCCAGTAGTAAAGTCATAACAGCAAGAAGAAGAAAAAAAAGGATTTGTGTTGCTCCTTGGTAAGGTAGAATCATGCTTCAATAGCAATACAGGGAAATGTACCACTGCTGTACTTGCATGCATACAGTTTGAGCAGTGCTCTGCATATGATTTATTTAGTGGCAGTGCACATTAAAAGTTTCATAGTTTTATCACTTTTTACATTCCCCTGGATAAAGTCAGCCCTGTTGGGGCTGCTCAGACTTTTCAAGTTGATAATGTGATGTCAGGGTGCTGTGGCCAGCTGAAAATTCTGACTTCTAATTTTAAAGTACAATGGAATGCACTATAAGCTGGTGGCAGCAGATGGTAAGCATGATTTCAAGCTAATATACACAAACACTGCTATAAAATAATGCTAGCATAAACCGTCGTATGCTAGGGGTAGCATAGCTTAACACTAGCATAGGCTAATGCTTTTTTAAAGTAATGCTAGCATAAACCACTATAAGCTAGTAATAGCATAGGCAAATACTGGCTTAGGCTAATGTTCTTATGCTAGCATAAGCCAGTGTTGATAAAAGCTAACAAAGTCCTACATAATGCTGAGTAATAGCTGCCTTTTTCTTTTTTTTAAATGTTGTTAGAGACAGAATACTCCATGTTAATCATTTAACATACACAACAGTGCTATAATATTGAGTGGCTGTAGACTGTGAGTGATTGAAGCTTCAAGTTAGCCCTTAAATGTCTTTTCGCAAACTGTTAAGTTTCCATGCTAATAATTTAGCTTTGGCTACTAATTTGTTATTTAAAGAGAGAATTTAGCTGCCAATTTCCATGTTACTGTCATGTTTATGTTATTTAAAGGTCAAAGTTGTGGATTCTTGAAATACAAATGAGGACAGTGGGGTCTCTTCAGGTCTTGTGACAGAGGATGTGGTAGTTTGCTGCTTTCTTTAGTCTCACATATCCATATATCAGGTTTAAACCTTCTGTTTCTGACTGGAGCTGGAGGAGGTTTAAAATAAACTGTTGGTTTAAAAGCTACGATGGGTTTTTAAATTCTAACCAAATATTCTCGTCAATTTAGATGAAGATTATGTGTGCTGGATTTGGGAGTAAATTTAACATTAGAAAACAATATTTTGCTGTTTCTTCTGATGAGATGTCAATAAAATATATTTAACCATAAAGATACTGAATGGGTTAGAATATTGAGCACTGCAAAAAGGAAAACTGTGTTGCTGGTACTGATTTTGATCTGTGGACAGTGAACCAAACCTGGTCTCCAGTGCCTTGTGAAAAATCTATTTGTGACACCCATAAAAACTCAGTTAAAAAAAGAGCTAAGATGGCAGGCAGTGTTTACAGGTTGTGGCTGTATTTGTCATGTTTGTTGTTGTCATCCTCAAAGAGAAATTATATTTCAGTTTTTTTTGGTCTTCACAGCAATCATTAAGACATATCTAATAGAAGCAAGATTTCAGAAGGTATAAAGTTGGCCTGTGATGCTCGTCTGTATTTCTATTCTTATGTTTTTCTCAAGTTACTTTGCATGATTCAGGGTTCAAAATAATTAGTATATGCTGTATACTTGGCTCTTGAGCAGTGATACTTCCTGCCCCTTAAAATGAACTTTTCCCCTCCCACAAGTGGGTGGGGCTTCTTTACTTACCATATTAGGGATGTCCACCAATGAGATCATACACAGCCAGGTGTGGAAAAAAAACATTTTAAAACCAAATGTTTAAAGCAAAACTGATCCTGTTATACATAATTATTCAAACTTTGATCATGTTAAGAGCAAAGAAAATAGATGACAGAAAATATGGAAGAGCATACTTTAAACAATCTGAAACAAACCACCACACGTATATAGACATGTCTTCAGTACACTTAATTTGATCCTGCTGAAATTATGGCATTTATGTAATAAATATTCTAATATTTTGCATTTTATAGTATTTCATTAGTACTTGAACCATTCAAATGTCTCTCATAGGCTTAAGTTTGTTTGCAGTGTTTTCATCGATTTAGCGAGATGTGTCTGTTTTAGAAGTTTGGATTGAAATCTTTCTGTCCATATCACTGGCCCTTCCTGATTGACTTAAATGCAGCACTTTCACAACCTTTAACACTTCCTGCCCTGCATTATTTTTGATAACATTCTAATTTTTCATACATGTATATCAGGATTGATGTATCTGTCCTTTCTTTTTTGTAGTGTGATCGTTCGTTTTTTTGTTTTTTGGGGGGGGGGTTGAGGACATTTCCTATCTGAAAATGAGACTGGAGTGTTTTATGAGATAATATGAGGAGTCATGTATTGTTGCAGCTTGTGAATTCAGAGCACCCCTTTAAAATTCAATAAATTTGATTTGGTAGACTGTTTTGAACAAGTCTCTGCTTTATTTTTTTATTTATTGGACATTACTTCTGCCCATTCTTGGTTATGTTGTTGTAGTGTAAAATTATGGCCACCCAGAGGTGCTGCTGGCTCAAGCTGAGCTGCTGGAGTTGCACTGTAGAGGCTACATTAAGGCATTAAAGCTGGACTTCTTTAAAATAAAGCATATTTTATATGCTTCTTTACATGTGGGGGCTATGGAGATTAAGTTACATTTAAAGTCATTTACCACTGTTAAGAAATCAAAGATATTTTAACAGAATACCATAAGAAATTGCCCTTTTTTTTAATATAAGTAAGTTTAAATGATTTTGGGACATTTTCTAAAATGAGTTTAATTTGAAGTTTACTGTGACATAAAATCTGCATCTATGGAACTGTGGGTAAAATGTGATTTATTTATTTTTTATTTTAGTTGTTGAGTTTGAACTTAAATTAGGCTTAAAAAAAATTACGTTTTTTAAATTTTTTTATTTTTGGTTAGAAATTGATCGCACTTACTGTTTCTGTCACAGATTTTGATTCAGGAGTCTTTTAGTTCTTTTTCGTATACTGTTTCTGATATCTGAAGGGATGGCAAACAAAAAGATGAAGTTTGAGGTAGTATGAGGTTGTATTTGTACAGGCTGGATCAGCCCATAAATTCCACCGATGAAGACGAATAAAAACAAAAACAGTCAATTACATACAATATAATAATAATAAAATAAAAAAAACACAGTTCAAAGTGCAGTAATGTGCATATTTATTTCTCTTCTTTCTAAAAACAACTGATATTACACCACCAGAAAATATCATTTACACTAATGAAGCTATCAGTGGAAGGACAGTGTGACAGTTATATTTGACATTTTTTGCCAACATAGCATAAAAACTGCAGAACGCTCAAATATCAGAAAGACAGGTTTAGTCTGAGCAAGTTGTTTACACAGAAAAAGTCACAAAATTCAAAAAGCTATTTTAGCGCAGGCAAAAAAAACCTGATGAGTTTCTAGCTGTAAGCTCATGCTGTTTAAGGGATATTGCTCATTGTGACTAAACATTTTTTAAAAAATGTTGCATTTATCTCATATCAGCTACATTATACAATATATAAGCATAAATTATAAAATTACTTGTGACTTATCCTTTCATTTTTCATTTACTGTAAAGTAACTATGATTTCATAAAGCTTAAAAATGTACCAATGAGGACCCTGATCACCCCCACCAGCACCGCCAACCCCCCCAGAGACAAAACACTTGAACAATTCTGGCCCCTCCTCCTGTTTCATGTTTTCCCGTCCCCTTTATGTCCCAAAATAAACACACAAACCTGTTGCTCCCAATCTGAAGAGGCACATTTTAGCTCATACACCACGCTGGGCAGCAGGGCCAGCGGGGAGGGTAAAACGTCCAGGAAAATTCAGTAGTAGATGCCCTGCCACGGAGGAGGGTGGCAGAAAATCATTTGCCACTTCAACTGAATTCCTTTGAAAGGTTAATTTGATCATCTCCTACGCGCACTGAGAAAACGATCTGCCCGTGCAGCACATAATCTCTTTTTCCAAGATGTCATTGTGCACGAGTTTTCCATGACTTATAAATAACAACTCTCTGCTCTTGCTTTGGCCAGATGAGAGGGAAGAGTAAGAGAACACGCATGTTGAGAGAAATCCTCCATGGAGCTTGATGGGACTTCAGTGAGTTGCGGTCAAAGGAGTCTGTCTGCGACCTCCTTTTGAAACGTCCTGTGACTTTACTGGAAAAACTTTAATGGAAAACGTCGGATGTCCTTGAAACACTTTTATAAGGAGTGAGAAGAGAGTGCAGACTTATTTGATTGGTTTAATTTGAGGGGATAGGGTAGAAGTTGAAGGTTTGCTTTAGAGATTTTTGCTGAGGCCCCGTTTCTGGATTGAAACTAAGGGGCGTTGAGGGTTGCTGAAGAAACCATGGATGAAGCTACAGAGCGGGGTCAGGAGGCAGTGATGAACGAGGCTCTCGTTCACTTCGAGGCCACGCTGGAAGCCGCTGTAAGGGAGGTGCACGTGGACGTTAGTGCTTTCAAGCATCGCATTGAGCAGAGGATTGAGGAAATGTGCATTTCCAATGGACCTTTGGCTGAGGCAGTTACCAGACTCCAGGAGGAGAACCTGCAGCTCAGGGCCAAGCTGGAGGCCCTCAGCCACCTGGTGGAGGGTCTCCCAGGGGTGAAGACTGAGGCGAAAGGGAAGAGCAAGGAGCAAAGACTAGAGAACGGCCATATACAAATTCAATCCAAGAGCCAGGAGGAGCAGAAGGGTCTGTTTAACTCTGAAAACAACCAGCCGGGTCAGGCCACGTCCTACGAAGCGTCTGGGCTCAGTGGAGGATCGAGCCAAGCTGCTACCCCAGCCCCTCCTCCATGGAGAGCAAAGAGAAATGCTGAGATTAATGTGAGTATTCAGCCTGTATTTCCACTGAATAAAGAAATACGTAGTAGAATATGTCCAACCCTGTAAGATCAGTAATTAGCAGTGGCAGTGGTCTCAGATGATTAAAAAGAACAACATGAGGGAACCACAGAAGACTTTAGGGGTACGTTTGTGAGTGTGAAGACTTCAAAAACATAAAATCAAAAAGCCTGATGCTTTTTTCTTTAATCTACTTATTGTTTACACATCCAGATAAACTTTGTCATATAGCGTAGCCAGGATTTCAAGGATAGTTCTCCTTTCTCTCTCTCCACATAGACTGTTTACCTGCATGCTACAGCCTGCATCACCTGTCACCCTGCTGACAGGTGATTAGGTGACTCCAGTCGCAAACTAAGACGCTTCTAGAACCAAGAAATGTGTCCCTAGCCTAAAGGTTCTTCACATTCATACAGGTTATAGAGCAGCAACAATTGTAGTATCTCCACCAACAAGGTTGGGTGATGGGTTCTGTTATCTGTTTGTTAGCTGGACAACTCATCTCCATGTGTGTGGAAATTCACCAGAGGTGGAGTGTGACCCTTTGGGGTTGACCTCCAAAGTTTTTTGTTTTTTTTTCAGGAATATTAACCTTGACACACAAACACACATACATCAAATTAAAATAAGAAAAACTGGCAAAGACAAACTGAAAAACCCCCAATCTGCTTTTGTATTTTAAGGCTGTAGTAAAATAACCATCTGAAATGCGATTATATGCCACCTGCCTTCACAAATGACAGCTTTTAGTGTTAGAGGGCACCGACGAACTCAACGACAGGCACGCCTGACCCCGTCCAGCATCGCTGTTAAGCAAACTCTCTCCACATGAATGCTCTGAGCTCCTTCCAAAATTATTTTTGCATTGCTGCAACATCCCTCTTAACTGGATGCTTCTTAACAGAAATCACATTTCTGTACAATCATTTTATGCAGCCATGACTGCATCATGAAAACTGCTCCTTTCCAGGTGTTGAAAACAAATAACCCTTAAAAGATCAGATGAAGTAAGCCTACCTGATCTCTGTTCATGAAGAGGACACAGCTGAGGGATCTATAGTAAGCCCTCTACACTGTAAAGAGGACAGAGGTCTAGTGGTTATCACTGATTATATACTAAGGTGTCTTTAAGGGGGAAAGAGTTCAATTAATCCTGGTTTATCTTATACAGGGCTTTGGTGTAGCCTTTGAATTGATCCTGTTGAATTAAGCTTTCTTCTGATTGGCTGTCCCTCACAAACAAAAGATTAGAAAAGCTGGAGCCAGAGCTGTGTATCTGGGATGACCATATTAGGACATCCATCGTCACTGATATCACAGAGAGCCAAGAGTAGAAAAAAACAGCCTGAAATTGAGTATTTGGAGCGGATTGAAGCCTGAGCTTTTCACTCACAGGGGTTACATTTACATTCACTGATCTCAGTATTTAAAACTTTATTACTATATGTATAAACACATATGACAGAAGTTTAGAAAAAGCATAATAGGTTCATGTTAATAGTCCAGTAATAACAGAGTAATACCATTCAGTTTAATTTAAGCACTAATGAGATTCTGTGTAATCATCCTTTTTGAAACTAACCCCACCACAAACACACACACTTACCCTCTCCCCCACCCCCCATTCTCAGCCTTCTCATCCTCATGACCCGCTTTTATAACAGCAGGTCCTCCAAAGGGCAAGTGTATTTTTGGCTTTGCGATTCAAAAGAGAGCTGCAGCTCTTCTGAGCTTCTGCATGCTCACCAACAACTGCAACTTTCTAGCACACATAAGCACCAGCAAACATGCAAGCAAGAGAATCACGCTGAAGTGATCGCTTGATGCACAATCAAGGGCGAAGCGGATTTAATGAAAAGGGCACAAATAAGAACGGCACGCTGCACGACACGCTTCCAACGGCGGCCTCGGTGCACGTACGAGGGGGGATTGTTCGATATAACTCACATTCACACTCTGATGACAGGTGTATAAATAAATCCACATCCTCTAACCACTCAGGAACCTTGTTTCCCCGCCAGTCCAAGTCTCAGATCTCCTAATGGAAAGTTGAATTGCATCTATATCCCTGTCGGATAAACTCTCCCCCAGCACAAACCCTGAGAGAGACAACCAGCTGTCCCGCCAAAGTGCTCGCCCTGCCAGCATTTCTGTTTGCTGAGGTCACCTGGTCTTTTCCCAAACATTGATCCCCCACTAGTCTAACACACAGCAGTTCACCCCTCCCCCCCCCCAAGTTTTTTAATGATCTCACATGATTCTTTACTCCATCATTTTCAACTTTAACAAAGAGACTGTATATAAAAGATGGAAGTAACTAACGGTAAATCACTCACTGTGTTCTGGATATGGATATGCAGACTTACCGCATTTTTGGGGGGCTGTTATGTGGAATTTTTTTTCCAGAAGTGGCAGCAGTCAATAACAAAGTGTCAGTGTCAATAAAGGTGGCCATGCCCCTAATGTTAAGCCTCATTATTCAAAGAAAATCCCCCCCAGTAAAGTTAGCTAAAGTTAGCTAAAATTAGCTATAAACATCAAACCCTTCTTTTGCACCAGACTATTTATTTCTGATGTAAAGAGATTGATGGGGTTTCACTTCCTTTTGGAGGCAACCCCAAGTGGCCACTAGAGGACCTGCAGTTTTCAGCCACTTTCAACTTAGTCTTCCTTTTTCAGCCTCAGAGATGGCTTCTTAACTTGCTTGATCTACCGTCACTCTTCATATTATCCAGGATAAACAGTTAGTAGGACTGGATAAAATAAATCTGGCTCCATGGACGCTCGGATAAGAGACTGTACTCGAAAACAGTGGCTGTCATTCAAGTAGTTATTGTTTATTGCCAGAGCCACGTGCCTTAAGATGTAGTATCTTTAGTGACCAGCAGGAAATCTCTGCTGTCAACACCAGATGTTCATACTCAACTTCAACTTCTTAAATAATACCTATAAACACCCGGCAGACTGGAAACAACACGACTGGAAGATATCTGAAGAATCTAAACACACACTTAATAAATACTTTTTAAAATGCTTTGCATGAGTTTTCTATGAATCAGCTTGTTAGTAACTCTCACTGCACGTTGAAAATGAAGTGACTGATACATGGAACTAAAGAGAACATCAAAAGGTTATTAAACCAAAACAATGAGGTTAAAGAAGTTAAAATGCTATATAGAGCTGAGTGGAACTCCAGAAGGGAGTAATAATCTATCGTTAAGAAAAGTGCATTAGCTTGATTGCTTGCATCCATTCATCCATCTTGTTAATTTTTCTAGAGCTAGGTTTTCAGGGGGCTGGAGCCCATCCCACTTGAGACTGTTTGAGAGGTGTAGTGCACTCTGGACAGGTCACCAGTCCATCACAGGGCTAACACAGAGACAGACAGATATTCATGCTCACATCCACACCTTCAGCTAATTCAGGTAAATCACTGGGCTCGGGGAGGAAGCCAGAGCACCCCCTGCAAACTTGAGCCCAAGCTGACCAGGAGGTTTGAACCTATAATTTTATTTTCTGTGTTGTAAGGGATAGCCACCACTGTGTTTGTGTGTTGGTATCTAACCAAAGCATGTTTCTAAGAAGGAGGTTGTTGGGTGTAAACCCATTTAGAGGTTGCAGATACTATCGAGGGTCAGACGGAGTCAGACATCAGCTACTGTGGAGCCTTCAGATGATCATGGTGCTAATCTCCCTCTCGATGACAGACTGGATATATACGCTGTGCTATGAGCACTGCTCGTCTCTGGAAAGCAAAAGGCTCCGGGGTGGGAGGTGGACTGAATACAGGCCAAAGCTTTGTGCTGATATACTTAGGTGCTGTTGAAGCTGCTCAACCTAACTCTGGTTTCCAAAGCATCCATTTGGGGCTATATTGGGACGTAAGAAGAGTGCAGCGGAAACTCTTGCAAAGGGGCTGATTGCAAAATCTAAAATAGCCTCTCAGTGGGAACACGGGTTTGTTGGCCACAGCTGTCATTAAAGGAGAAGCTGTCAGCCGTTAACAGCTGAAGATCACACATCCAGAGAAGTGAGCACAGACACGCACACACACAAACAAGTTTGCGATGAGTGATAAAGGTCTAAAATTAATTTTAGCTGTGCACAACAAAAACAAACTGTGAGAGATCCAGTGAATAAAGTTACCAACGCAAATGTATAAACACAATATAAACACTGTATATGTTGCATAACTTGTTTAACATGCAAATGATCAACTCATTTGCTCCTCATCCCACCCCCTCATGCTTTCCAAAATGCTAATGTCCAATATCTCCCCTCTTACAAACACAGCCACATGAAGCAACGATGATTTTATTGGACGTTCCCTCAAAGTGATCATTGAACCCTGAAAATGCTTTAATCATCAAAAAATCGTCAGTAATGATAATGTTAGTTTATAATTGTTCATCGAAATAGAAGAAGTGGGTGTTTTGACTTCTTTGCCTCACCTAAACAGGGAACTGAAGCAAGAGGGGAGAAGAATATCGCTCATGTAGCCACCACCGCGCAAGAGAAACAGGAAGGTAGGCAGCTTCACCTGCACATCCAGACATTTTACTCTTCAAGCTGGTTTCATTGTTGGGTTCGTGTTCTCTGCAGACCCTGATGTAACCCAGACTGCAGAAGCTGCTCCTGAGTCCCACCGAGCTCTGACCGCCATCACCAAACCGACCTCAGAGTCTTCATCTGTGGAAACGCCCAGCAGGCCCGGTCAGTTCATGTCCTTTATGGTTGGATTTACAGAAAGACATTTAAAGTGATCTTCAGCTCAAACTTGAGCTTTTATGTTTCATCTGCTACACTGACGTTGAATAATACCAGGGAACAAAGTAAATGCATGCAAGTCTAAAAAACCCGAAATGATATCCACAAAACCAAATATTTTTCTGTATTTTGCTTACAGTGTTTTGTATATACCTCACAGAATCCAAAATATCCCATTTTAAAATGCATCTGGGTTTTCATGCCATAAAACCCAGATGTTGTTTGCGCTTGCAGATATTTATATTGGCATTAAAACTGAGCTGTAAAACTGTGCACTGCAGTGGATTGTATTTACAGTTGTGATCAGAAGTTTATGTACACTAATCTTGGGGAAGAAAGTCATGGTAATTTGTGTTTTTTAGTGCTGTTTTTTTTAATCTGTTCTTTTATTTATACATACATGCTCACTAATATTTGGTTAAATGCACGTTGCTTTTGGTATCCATCAAGCTTCTTTACATTCACGACTGAATATTTGACCCCTCTTTTTGGTAAAATTCATTTAAATTGGTTGATTTCCCGCGATCGACTTTGTTTTTAAGCATAGTCCACAAATGTTCAATAGGTTGAGGTTGATCTTTGGCGAGGCCATTCAAGGAACTCAATCTTAGCTAACCAGCTCTAATGTGTGCTTGGGATCATTGTCTTGTTGGAACACTCAGTTTCAACTATATACAGCTGTTTATTTGAGGTGAAGTTGAAGAATTTTGAGGTAGTTTTGATTTTTTCTTATTCCATCCACTGTTTATAATGTACCAGTGCCTCTGGCAGCAAAATAGCCCCAGAGCATGATGCTACCACCACCATGCTTGAAAGTTGGTACGGTATTCTTAGGTTTGTAAGCTTCACCTTTTCTTTGTCATTGTGGCCAGATAGCTTAATCTTTGCCTCATCTGACCATAAAACGTTTCTTCAGAAGTCAGTTGGCTTTTTGACGTGGGCAGCTGCAGATTTGGGTCAAGCTTGAAGGAATCGTTTTTGGAGCAGAGGCTTCTTTCTCTGCACCGTTTCACTGTGGACAGAGACACTGCTGGTATTCCAACAGTTTCATGTTCATGGCAGGCTTGAGCCTTGGTGGTTCCTGGCTTGTTCATGAACATCCTAACCAATTTCCTCTCTCTCGGCACATTGGTGGGACATCCATATAATTTATATAGAATTTTTGAACTAATAACCTTGGAATCTGCAGTTGTTTAGAAATTAATCAAAGAGACCTTCCCAGCTTGTGTAAATCTACAATTCTCCTTCTTCGATCTTCACTGAGTTTCTTGGATTTTCGTCTTGTTTTGAGTATGAGATGAGTGCTATCAAACAAATCCTTAGCATGGCAACTGTAAATGCACAATTTTTGTTTTGTTTTTTTCAGTGTCAAAAGCCAACTCTGAAGCTCCATGTGGGGAACCTGTCTAATATTGTAGACTAGACAATTTACCTTACAGTAAAAAGCACCTTGAGACGACTGCTGTTGTGAACCGAACACTATTGACAACAACAACAAACTACAACAAAAGCCATCACTTCCATTTGGACTTTGGATTATTTCTTTTTCAGATGCTGATGAACCCCAGCCTCATCTTCCGGTGACGGCCATGACAACTAGAGCCAGTTCAGAGGCAGCTAAACCCGCTCAGTCTGCAGCACCTAAAGCAGCAGGCGAAGCCGGAGAATATCCTTTTATAAGAGGTCAGTTAGTTTCTCTTTATGATTATTTGTTAGGATGCTAACCTTCAGGACATGGACACACCTTATAATACAAAAAGTATCAGGTCAGGGCGCCTGGAGGAATTTAGTCCTCAATTAAATATGAAAATGTCTATGCATAAGTGGCCTTGATTTTAAATACAGAGAGCAGAAGTTCACCTGTCATTCAAGATATACAATTTAGCTGATACCATGAAATATATGAAGTGCAAAATAAACACACGAAGTCATTTTTAGTTCTTTAGTTTTAATTCATTGACGAGGTGGCGTCTTTTTTCACGGTCCGTAGATATTCAGCAAACTCCTGGATCAATTTAACTTTCTGTTGGTTACAAAATCCACCTTTTTTTAGCTTAGTTATGATTTCATCAGCGAAAACAAACTCACCTACGACAAAGTGAGGAAAACAGAGTGAGGCAGCATCCGTGTCAGCAGTATCAGACAATCTTTGCACCCCTATACTGTGACAGAGAGGTGCAGAACTTTCAACAAATCCATTCTTTTTTTTCTTGGCTCGACAAAACCTAAAGTCACACTAAGAGACAACGGGTACGCTTTCTGTTCCAGGCTCTGAGCGCTCTATGTGTAATTTCATCGTTCATGTGCTCAAAATTGGCCTGCTTACTTCAGTCAGACACATCATCAGAGGAGCAGGGGATAAAGATACACAAAAAAGATTTTAAAAATAAGAATGAGACAGCAAAGGGTGATGGAGAGAGAAGAACAGCAAGAGAGCAGCACTGCAGAATACCTTTAATCTTTTGATCTATTTATTCTACTCTCACTGCTGCCATTTATTTCTAACAGGACAGCTGTTTAGAGGTAATCATTCAGTTTAACACTGAAAGCTACTCCGTGCGTATTGCTCTAGCATGAAGTATTCAAAGGTAATAGCTAGCATTAGCACAAAACTTAATTAAATAATTGACAAAAAATAGTTTCCCTCTTTTTATGATGGCATGCCAACAAACATGCTGATGTTTCCACCTTGTTACATTCGTTAGAGCTTGACGCGAAATATATACAGCAATTTGGCAAAAATAACATCAGTGCCAGTTTGCGCTGCTGTAGCTTAACAACAAGACTTCCTTTTATTTAGATAGTAAATTATAGATCATCAGGTAAATCCAATTCAATCCAATCCAATTTTATTTATAAAGCACTTTAAAATACCCAGCACAGGACGAAAGTGCTGTACAGAAAATAAGTTAAAAACAATAGAATAACAGAAAACAGCAAAAATAAATAAATAAAACACTTAATACATGAAAAATTAAAACAGCCCTATATTAAAAAACAAGATAGAGCAACATAGACAAAACTAAAATAAAAATAAAACCAACATCTCACATGGTGTCAAAGGTCCGGGTAAAGAGGTGGGTTCTCAGGAGTGATTTAAAAACAGGCAGAGAGGAGGCCTGTCTAATCTCTAAAGGGAGATCGTTCCACAGTTTTGGAGCTGCTACAGCAAAAGCAGGATCTCCTCTAAGTTTACGCTCAGTCCTGGGTACATTCAGGAACAGCTGTAGTAAAAAATGTTCCTGCAGCAGAGAATCCATATCACACTTACAGCATGCAAAATATGAAAAGGATCATCAAAAATGTGGCGCTTACAGATGATTTCACACAGAAACTCTGAACATATTTTAACACAGCCAGCTCCGACACTGTAAAAAAACGTTTGTTAAAAAACTTTAAAATGGCAGCAGAAATAAACTGTAAAATCCAAAACAGTAGATCTCCGTAGTAGAAACAGTTAGTGGCTGTAAATTAAGAAACAAGACATCATTTTAATTTTTACCGTCATAATATGTAGACATATTTTTACTGTGAACATATTTTTTTCGCTAACATTTTCCTGCATATGCTACAATGTCACAAGTAAGAGTTAGTTTTTGTCTGAATTACATATTTTACAATTATGTCTAAAACATTTCTACAGAAAGAAGATGTCATGTTTGTTAAATCATTTTGATTTCAAGGTAACATATTTGTATTAAAACTTTAGCAATTAGTTTATTAATTAGCTGATTGACAAACATTTATTCAGCAACTATTTTGATTAACGGTTTCAGTTGCTTTCAGAGGGAAAAATGCAAAACACTGCTTTTAAGATTAGAATGAAAACTTTCCTCTTTAAAGCTTATGGTCAGGCCTGGATCAGGGCTCGGCCTGTGTGGGTTCAGGAAAACCTAGTCTTGACTTTTTTTTCCATTGTGAACCCAACAGTGGAGAAGTGTCTTTAAGGGTTTTACACTTTAGGTTTTTTAGTGATTTAGGTTCTTTCCTCTTTTAATGCTGTATCATCTCCATCTGTGCAGGTGGAGCGAAGGAACAAAGGCCCCAGGCATCCCAGGATCAGTCAGCCTCTGTGTCTCAGACTCTCCCCCATCTTCCTCTCACAGTGTTAACCAAAAGCAGCTCTGACACTCCTGCTTCATCTAAATCTGATCCCAAAGCGGTTTCAGCGCCAAACCCTTCGATGCCAGAGTCACCGACGATAAAGCGCGGCGAATATCCATTTAGACGTGGTGCGTGCACTGCCGAAGTATCAGCAACGGTGTTTTGTTTGGCCCCCTATTTTTAAAACACGCTTTATTTCATCTCCTCTTTAGACACCAGTGAAGCCAAGCCCCACTCGCCTCTCTCTGCCATGACCAAACCCAACACAGAGTCGTCTTCGTCTGCTTTAACGGTTCAGTCTTCAAGCCTTTCAGCTTCACAGGACGCTGCAGTGAAACCTGGAGAGTATCCCTTTAAACGTGGTGAGTCTGACCGAGGCCGTCTGCTTCTCATCTGTTCCTATTTCCATTATTTTCACAGTTATTATTACCTGTTATTTATTTTTATGTTGTATCTTCCTTTAACTCTGACTCTTGTTTTCAATTTAGTGCCAGTACTTAAGACACCCAGCCCCAGTTTAAAGAGAAGTGTGAGCTTCCCTCAGTCTGCAGGTAAAACTTCTTCAGGCCTATTAAAACAGATAAAAGAAGCTTGTGAGTTCTCTCTGGTCATGCCTACTCATCACTTGTTGCCACCCCCCCCCTTTTTTTTTTTTTACAGAAAAATTACTTCCCTCCAAATCAATCATAAAATCTGGCTTCTCACCTAATTTGGAAAAGTAAGTTGTAATCAACAGCCCTGATTAATCTGAATGGCTGCTTCATCCAACTCCATCCTGATGTTTCGTGTTGTCGTCCGCTGTTTCTCCACAGGAGAGCGAACAAGCCAGTGGGGGGCGACTTTAAGCAGGACGTGATAAAGTCCCAAACGCTTCCACGCTCCAATGGCGCTCAAGCAAAGCGAGCCTTGTTTGAAAGGATGAACTCAGAGCCTATAAAGTAACAGAATACAAAATAAGTTCTGCTTTTTCACCTTTTGTCACTCTTTATTCTGCCATAAAATAAGCTGTGTTTGTCTCCAACAGGCCAAAAGACTCGAAGCCTAAACTGAAGCGGTCTCAGAGCTTTGGCGTGTCCAGTGCCAGTGGTATAAAACAGATCCTCTTGGAGTGGTGTCGCTCCAAAACCATTGGCTATCAGGTATGACTGGATATACATTTCTGTTCTCTTCCAGTTAGTAGCTCTAAAACTAATTTTTCTATCATTATTTTTAAAACGTGAACATTTGAATAGCTTCATTGTTTGTAACAGCTGGGGGGGAAAATAAAGGTATAAAACTACCATTCTGCTCCAGTACTGTATCTGATGGTTATTTCCACAGACTGTATATAAAGGATGGGTGTAGTCACCATGATGTCACCCACTGGTTTCTGGACGACAGACATCGAAAAGATGGATCTGTGGAAATGCCTTGAACCTGCATTCTTTTTAACAGCCACCAGGGGGAGATAAGTTTTAGTCTCACTGAGGTTGTTCCAGAGTTGCCCGCCATATCCTCCTGAGAACCAGCCTATTCATTTATGTCCTCTGTAATGGACATTTGTTTTTGGTCTATATCTTTTGACTTATTTGAGCTATCCTAATAAGTCCTGATCGAATAAATAGAAGAAATCCTGGTCTTTCCATTGATATCTCTTGTGTTTGGGTGGAATCTTAGCTCCAAAGAGGAAGGAAATCACAAAGTTCAATGGGAAGCCCTTTTTTCCTCGGTTATTAGGAGGGTTTTAGATGTGATACAACCACTGGTGCTGTGGAAAAATGTGTATATTCCCTGACTGGTTGACAATATTTCCTGGAGGTTTCTGGCTCTCACTGGGTGAAACTAGGTTCAAAGAAGGTCTTTCACAAAAATCTTCCTAGTGGTTGCATTAATTGTGACCAGATTGCCCCTGATGTCTTTAGTTTTTTTGTGTTTGTCTGCAAATACTTACTAACAAGTAGCTGAGCAATAGTAAAACTTCAAATAGTGCAATGCAAACCGTAAATCAAGAAGGTTCACCTTCAGAATAAGTTTCACTTTAGTGCTGCGACCAACATGTTTCAAAAGGTGGAGCTTTTACTTGGAAGGCAAATTGTCTGCGTTTTTGGTCTGTGTTGCACTTTTTCAAGTTTCACTACAGCTTGGAGTGTAGCTAGACGGTGTTTTAGAGACGTCCATCACTTCCATTCAAACTATGACTGCAGTCATTTTTGCCAGCCAGTTGGAGAATACATACCTTTCGCTAGCAACAGGAGTTTCCAGATGGTTGGGGGCTAATCTATAGATCTGTGTGACAGAGGCTTTGGCAATAATTTTTGCATCAACCTCCGCCTATCACTTAGTTGGTTGGCAATTTTTCTCGTCACTTGGTCTTACACTATCACCGTGAGTTTCACAATGGTGGACAAGTTAACGTCACATGGTTAGTGGTCACATATCTGCAAAACATCAGTTAAAGACAGTAAAGACACTGCTTTCAGCACCGATCTGAAAACACCAATCTCAAGGTGTCAGAATGGGATCTGGCAAACCAGTGGTTGACCTCTGGCTGCTGCACTCTGGACTCATTCGATTTGCCAACATGAAGTCTTTTTCAGGTTGCGTGCTAAGTTATCAGCTACCGCTAGAAAGCTTGGTTAATAAGCTGTATCCATAAAGAGGTTCATAGCAAAGCAAAGATTGAACTTTATGGATGGGCAGTCTTCACCTCTTGAGCTTTCTGGCTGGTAATTTCATCAAGAAGAGATACTGTGTATTAGTGAATATTGCCAGCTTTGCTCTGAGTGAATAAATAAATGAAAAAGAAACACATGACTGTTTTTCTCTCAGAACATAGACATTCAGAACTTCTCGTCCAGCTGGAGCGATGGGATGGCCTTCTGCGCCCTGGTCCATTCCTTCTTCCCTCTGGAGTTTGACTACAACTCTCTGGACTCTTCAAACCGCAAACACAACTTGGAGCTGGCCTTCACCACCGCAGAGTAAGCTGGCTCGAAGAGCCACTGAGTGACTGTGCAGTGTGATAAAAGGGCTGTTTTAGGTGGAATAATAAATTGCTGAAGCCAGGAGAGGTGACACTCTTGCAACAAAAAACTAAATTTACCAGGTTTAACCCTGTAACGTCAAGTGTATCGTGTTTGATGCATGAATTTATGAGAACGTTACATCATCAGTGTAATTTTTAACTCTAACCTACTTTGGTTTGTTTAACATTTAAAAACTGTGAGGAATAAATTGCCCAAGTGGTTGGATATAGCAATTATTACAAAAATTAAAACTAATATATGCACTCTGATACTTACAGAAGGCTTCATAAACAAAATTATAATTTTCTGCCAATTATTTCGCAGTTCAGGTTTTACTGGATTAAAATAATTAAGGGAAAAAAGCTTGATATATTTGGAAATATAAAGTCATAAATTTGTGAGAAAACACAAGGGAGATTGGAATTTTAAAGCCTTACATGTGAGAAGTAAATTCAAAGAGTCTCAGTGAATATTGGACTTCCCCCCCCATAAATGTATAACCTTATTCTCAATGAATATCACTCTAAAAATGATTTCTGGATTACAGTTTTTATCATCTAAAAATCCTCCAGGATATAGTTCTTAAATTAATCATGTTAAACCCAGAGATTACACGTTTTAATTTTTCACAAAAATGCTTTTTAAAATTTTTTTATATGTATTTTCTTTTTAAAATTTGACTTATTTCATTTACGTAGCATGGCTCCAATAGGAAATCATAGCGGTGATTCCTTTGTTTTGCTAATGTTTTCAAACACAGTGCTAATTGCTAAGTGTCTAATTTGTCAGTTAATAATGATTCAAACACAGGCAGGTTCATACTGAGCACCAGTGACAGGAAAGAGTCTGGAGACAGACGGCGGGGTCAGTGGGACAAGTTGGGATGGAGGCAGATGATGTAGCGAGCCCTAAAAGAGAGCAGCTGAAAGAAGAAGATAAATGTATCAGTTTAAGCACTAAAAGGACATTCATGGTTTTGGTTAAAATGTAACCTTTTCCACTTGTTTTGTGGGCTTGTTTCCTTGGTTACCATAGTGAAGCATCCTCTCTCAAGAATCCCACTAGTACTTCCTGTTTCAACATCACTTTCAGCATTAGCATGACTGTTACAAGAAAAAGAAGGGAAAATTTAATACCCAAACAAATAGATTAATCTTTCATCACTAATTGATAGTTTAGTCATGAAATTAATAATAATTGATAAATCATTAACTTTGTTTGTGTAGTGAAGATCACCCTTTGAATAACAGCACTGTCAAAGGTGTGGCCACTGGAGATTTATTCATTACATTTATTAACTCTTTAAAAAAATTACATGAGAGGGTTCTTTCATTTGCTTACATCCTAAACAACTTTGAACTATGTAAACATGACACTGGCAACAACAGCCACTAGTTTACTCCTATTTTACGTTGCATTGATTTGCTCATAAAACATAATAATCTACAGTCGTACACATTTGGATGTGCTTTAAAAAAAAGAGTGGCTGTTTTAGTTTTTGTTCATATGCAAATACATTTATTGCTTATTGAACTGCTTTCTGTTTTATTCACCTTTATTTCTGTTTCAGAGAGCAGGCTGACTGTCTGCGTCTGATCGAGGTGGACGACATGCTGGAGATGGGGGACAAGCCAGACCCCATGTGTGTGTTTACATACGTCCAGTCTCTCTACAACCACCTGAAGAAGTTTGAATAACTCTTGAATCAGAGCACGTCCCGAAGCCTACATGGCGCTGACCACGGTGTGCTGTGAACACTTTGAGCCTAAAGTGAAGCAAGCTAACAGGAAATCTCAGTTGTCTGTGGCCAATCACAATTATGTTCATCAGTTTTATACTGTGTGTGTGTACCTGTACTCACCTGCTTCCCACAGTTTCTTCAGCATTTATAGTGGATTTCTTAAAATATAGTTTCCTGTGGCTGTTTCACATCAAATAAGGACACAAACATCACATGTAATAAAAGGAAGCGTTGTCTGCAAATGAGCAATGTCGTTCTCTTATAATAGGCTGCACACTGGCTAATGTGCATGTGGGGTGTAACTTACTGTAAATATACTGTAAATATTTCGATTATCAAGAATCCCCCCCCCCTTTTTGGCACACTTACATGTTTCAGATCATCAAAAAATTTTTATTGATAGACAAAGATAACTTGAATTAATCCAAAAAAAAAGCTATGGAAACCTACCTGTCCCTATGTGAAAAAGTAATTTCCCCTAAACCTAATAACTGGTTGTGCCACCCTTCACTAAGAACTGCTTTTGTAACCTCCTGGATGAGTCATTGATTATGTTGGCTACTCCTTGGAAGATTCACCACTGTTCCAAGTTTTCTCCATTTGTATATAATAGCTCTCAATTTGTTTCGCTGGAGTCTCAAAGCCTTGGAAATGGATTTGTAACCCTTTCTAAATTGGTGATGTCCCTAACTTTGCCAGACAGGTTCTGTTTAAGTCAAGTCTTGATTCAATAGATGTGGCAGTAATCAGGCCTGGGTGTAGGTGGTAAAACTGACGGAGGTTAATTCATTATTTAATTTGTGATTTAAAATACGGGAAGAAATTAAGCATCAGACTAACTAACCTGAGAAAAAGGCTAATGAGATTTAAGATCTTTATTAATATTTTGTTTTCCTTCTTATAGAGGCATACTTATTTGGTGCAAGTCCATTCAAGGACGGTATTAATATATAAACAAAAGTTTATATTAAGTTTATTTTGATCTCTTAAAGAATGCTAAAAACAAACAAACAAACCAACAACTAGCAAACCCAAAAGATGTATTTTACGATTTTCACAATGTTAACGCTTTTTAATTTCTGTGGTGCCTTTGTTGTTTCAACATAAACTTACGGTCGGTGAGCGATGCTTGGCTTCCAGTCATGTCAAGGATTTAAAATTTGTACATTTGTGAGCTAAGACAAAGACGACATAATCAGTAAAAAAAACACATGCAAACTAATATAAACAGAAGGCATCCGCATTAAATGTAGCCGTAATTTAAACGGAGATGAAAGCTCGTTTGGTAGATTTCCAATCTTTTAATGGGCGTGAACGCACCGCTTCCCATTGACCGGGCATCCCTTCCGGTAGATGAGGTCAACTTTTCCCTAGATCCGCCATTTCAGCCTCGGAGTTTCTTGTTGCACGATAGTTATGATTTTTTTAGTTATTTTAAACAACAAAAAGTAGATAATTTGGATTTGTGGTGCAGAATTCGTTCCGCCGAAATAAACCCCTTGATATTACGCTTAGACGTTACGAAAATCGTGCCGTTGTGACGTTTTTCCAGCGGGAGTGTTAGTCAACCAAAGTTTTTGTATGAGTTGCGGATAGGGAGAGGCGAAGGGGAAAGGCCTCAAGCCTTGGAAGGGATTTCACAGCCATGGCCGGTAATTTTGATGCCGAAGACCGTGCAAGCTGGTATTGGGGGAGACTGAGCCGCCAGGAGGCGGTTTCTCTTTTACAGGGACAGAGACATGGTGTTTTCCTCGTGAGGGACTCGATAACTATCCCCGGAGACTACGTGCTCTCCGTGTCGGAGAACTCCAGAGTGTCCCATTATATCGTCAACAGTATCAGCAACAACAGACAATCTGGATCAGGTAACGTTGGTCTACTTCTCACTTTAACTGAACGTGACCCTCTTCGTGTTCCCTTGGCTCTAACATAAGGAGTACTTTCATTTTAAACCTGCTTTGCTAGGATTTAGCTCACTCGCTCTTCAAGCAGCGCCAGACTCCCTTTCGGAATTGTCTAATTGATCAAGACAGTAGTAGATCCACAAATATATCCTGGTTTTACCAAATAAATTTACAACCTTTTCGCGTTTTGGAGGCTTCTTTTTTAAGTCGGCGTATTTGTAATAACAAAAATCACCACTCTGTTCAACAAAACGTTATACATGTGGTTTACACACCTCTCTACCGCCCACTCGAACCCCAAGCCACGCCAGACTCCCCTTAGGAATTGTCCAATTTTAAAAAAATCAGAGTAACTCCACAAGCACTCAAATCTTACCATTAGAGATTTACACATTTATTTATTTTAGTGTTTTTGAAGCTCAGTTTTAAAATCATTATTCATATAATAATGAAATCTTGGATGCAAAACAAAACTTTGTAGGTATGCTGTACACACCTCTTTCCGCAAACCAGCCAGACTACCTTTAGGAATTGTCCTATTTAACAAGATTTTACTAAATCCAAAATGTTTTCCCCCTATTTACCCTATAAATCTACATCTTTCTGGGTTTTTAAAACTATTTTAAAAAGTCGGCATGTATGTAATAAATCTCCACTATCCGCCCACAAACTCCTCAGGCAACATTGAACTCCTTTCTGGAATTGTCTAATTAACATTACTTCCCTAAAGCCACTAACATATATGTACAGTAACATGCAGGTTTATAACTTTCCGTGATTATTAAAGCTGTTTTTTAAAACTGGTATATAGTTTTACTAAGTTCTGTGAGTCAGTGTTGCTTTTAACTGAAAAATGAAGATGAGTAGTATTATTGAATCTAATCCCCATGTGTGGTTGATGGAGGTTTCTTTAAAGGATAGTAAACAACCGCATTTTAGTCATTCAGCCGCTGTTTTTGTTAAGGGTAATATATTTTTTGGCGGTGTTTTGTCCCTGTTTAGCAGCAGGACTACCCTTCAGCAGGTAAAGAGGTAAGGTGAGCTGGTGTGAGCAACTGTTATTACTGCTGCTGCTGCTGCAGAGGTTGAATGAACTGGGGAAGTTCCGCTGTCACAACGGAGGGATGACTGGTCAGATTGGTGCTTCAGGAATGTCTGTGATCAGGCCCTATTGCACACACACACCCGTACTTGCAGGTTTTGCCGTTGTGCTTGAGGCTCTTAATGGCTGTTGCACAATCCTCGTCCTTTCTGAACTTCCCTGTGTCTTGTTTCCCAGTAGTAAATCAGGGGATGGCCTCATAGACGGTAAAAGACTGTACGCAAAATGATTCACCTCATAGTTGTCACATTTATTTTGAAATGACAAACAAGTGCTTAATTCAGCTGTGGTGCTGTTTGAGTCAGGACAGTTGAACTCAAAGTGACACAGTGTCATAATTGAGTCATTCCTGAATCCACGCCCTGCAGAAACTTGCTCTGCTGCTCTTCTCTTCTGTCGTTTAGCTGGCTGTACCAAGCCCTCGTGGAAATTAGTAAATCAGTGAGAAGTAGGCTAGATACTGTTTGCCTTTATTGATGCATTGTCAATTTTATTATCCCTCAAAAATCAATCCGCTCAGGTCTAATGTGTCAGTTAGTTACATGACAAATTTTCCCACAGGCACCAACAGCACAAACACAGTGGACAGCTCCACTTCAGTGGGTGTTTCTCTAACACCACCAAGTTTGTACTTGTGTGCTTGCTCAGTACACTATTTGGCAAATGTACTTGAGAATTCAGACTACTGAGGATGGGAGGGATGGCAGTCATTCTGCAGTTGCGATCACAATACAGTATCATCACTGTTAATGTTGCATGTCGATCTAAAGGAACCTACCTGCCTTTGGTCTTATTCATATCTGTTATTAGTTGTCTTCTAATATCAAGAGATTTATATAACTGCTTATTAAGTTATATTAGGTAACATTGATCACATGACTCTTTGCACACTTTCATTTTCTCTTTCATCTCTTTCACTAAAATGGTTATGTGTGCACAGCTTAACGTGTTTATTAAAGAAAAAACAAACAGGCTAGGTGGCAAAATTATTATTATTTTATTATGAAATAGGGGTTTGTCCTAATTTTTTTTATTTTTCAGCAAGCTAATAAAGTCTCATTTCTTCCACCAGGATTGGCTCCTTCTCGGTTTCGGATTGGGGATCAGGAGTTTGATGGGCTGCCGGCTCTGCTGGAGTTCTACAAGATCCACTACCTGGACACCACAACGCTCATAGAGCCTGTGAACAGAGGCAGGCAGTCAGGCCTCATCAGCCCCCCCGCTGTCGGACCTCCCCAGCAGACCGAGGAAGGCGAGTATGTCCGGGCACTGTTTGACTTCCCTGGCAACGACTATGAGGACCTCCCCTTCCGCAGGGGGGACATCTTGCGCGTGCTGGAGAAACCAGAGGAGCAGTGGTGGCACGCCAAGAACCAGGAGGGCCGAGTCGGGATGATCCCTGTGCCTTATGTGGAAAGGTTCCGACCCTCTTCGCCCACTGCAGCCAGTCTTAGTCCGGTACCCGCAGGGACCGGACAAGGCGGCCATGTTGGCGGGGTAATGGGCAGCACAGATGGAACAGGTTCTCCTCAGGCCACCGCTCTGGGGGAACCGGGCCCGTATGCTCAGCCTGTGGTCAACACTCAGCTCCCAAACCTACAGAACGGGCCGGTCTATGCCCGGGCAATTCAGAAGCGGGTGCCCAACGCTTACGACAAGACGGCGCTGGCTCTGGAGGTACTAATCTTATCACCAGTTACTTTCCTCTTGTTTATTGTGAATCACTCTCCCCCCCTTATTTTCCACTTTCAAAAGGGTCCGAGCCGAGGCGGCGTAGATTGTCCCGATTGTTATAATGGCTTACTCATGCATGTGAGCACGCACACTGTGTCTTTACAAATGCAGGCTGACAGCGAGCATGAGGACATTCAGAGTGGAGACATAGATCCTTTACAGTGGCCTCTCTTCATGCACACACTGCAGCCCAATGGGTTAATGTGAAAGTTGCATTGAACATTCATTACCACTGAGGTCCAGTGGAGCACAACGCTTTTAAGTTGCTTTGTGGTGATGTACTGAATAGTACATTCTACAGTAATCTGGACTCAGTGTCTCCACATTGCACACGTTTGCCGTTTGGCCAACTAAACTTTTAGCTTTTCCATTTATTTATTTTTTTCAGCTCTGATATCAGGGTTGGGTGATTTGCTCCATAGTCCAGTCATCCTGTTACCTGTGTTGGATTGCTAATTGTCAACAGCATCCGTGCTAGGCGGCAGAGGTTATCCACCCTCCATAATGCGCAGTGTTTGGCCCAAACATGCTTATCTACCTTCCTCGTATAGGTGTACTGTATGGCCAGTTTGGGTTGTTTTCTTATGTGTAGATCTCACCTGTCTCTCACACACAGCTCAGTTTTTCACTGACAAGTATACCTGGTGGGGAAGAGTCAAGGAGAAGATATGAGAGCATCTCCAGCTTAAACGAGTACAAAAGTCAGAAATATCCTGCTGTTTTCTCTCCTTTGACTATGATGGATGGTGTTTCTGCAGGTGTGAACCTGTGTGTGCACGCCCAGACACGTCTGTGTTGGAAATGGTCGTTGTATATGGAGATGCAATGTGAAACTGTAGTGAAGCACATCACCGTGCATGTTGACCATAATCGGCGTTGTCCGTCGATGGAACTATAGTCGATGTGCTCCATTGAGCTGTAGCAGTGGGTTACAATCTGATTACATTAGTCTGTGATTCGGAATATGAACAGTTTAATGAAATTACAGCTAGTTAAACAGCAATACTGTAACCTCCGGACAGTAAAAGTATTTCCAGGATTTCTTTTTATATGCAGGAGAAAAGATGTGAAGCTTCTGAGGAGTGATTCTGATTTATAGCACGAAGCTGCAAGAATGTGACAGTAAGGCTACGTTCACACTGCAGGCGAAAGCGCATCAAATCCGATTTTTTTTTTTACCCTATGCGACCCATATCTGATCATGCTATGACAGTGTGAACGGCACAAATCCGATATTTTCACATCCGATCTGGGTCACTTTCGTATGTGGTACTGAATCCGATACATATCCGATGTTTTAGAAAGAGACTGCTGTTTGAACGGTCATGTCGCATTAAATCAGTCTTTTACGTCACTGACACGAGACAGACGCCAATTATCAGTGCCGGAGAAGACATCGCGAACGCTTCCTGGCCATCAAGTGTAGATGTTAGTGAAACTGTTGGGAAGACAACGTGAACATTTTATTTGTACTGTATAATCTGCAGATTCTGACAGAAATCTGCAGCTATCCTTTGAAGCACCGCTCCTCTAAAACAGCAATAAGGATCATTATTAGGTTATCTACATTATTATGTAAATGACAAAATAACTTAAAGCAAAAATTGGGAAACATAAAGTCTGAAGTCTTTATATTAAGGGCCATCAGTCAAACAATATTGTTTGGTCTGGGTCTAAACAGAGCGCGCTGTGTGTGACGTCTTCTTTTGCGCATGCGGGCTGCTTTTAACGTTCACACTAGAGCGCGTTTGCTGTCGCTTTTTTTTTTGTAGTGTGAACAAGCAGACAAAAAAATCGGATTTGATCAAAAAATCGGAATTGAGCATCAAGACCTGCAGTGTGAACGTAGCCTTAAGTGCAAACTGCTCTGGCCAGAAACAACAACCCACCACACCGAGCATGATGGCAGGTCTGCAAAGCCAAATGCTGTGACGACCTGATAACGTCCTTTAATCTAAGGCAGGGCCGGTAACTGGATTTTAATTTCATTACGATTGTTTCCAGCAATTATGGAACTAAAAAACAAACAAACAAACAAACAGGGATTTAGAAATATGAATCTTTCTGCATTTATTTTCCTTACAATGCTTCTGATTTCTTGTTTGCGTGTGGTATTAATGCCTTTTGGCTTTGCAGCGCTGCGTTTTCAGTCGTTTGTAAATGCTGAGTGCGAGCCAAGACCATACAGACCTACTATATATAGGAGGTAACACTCACAGGTTTTCTGTAAGTAAAACCTGAGGAAGGTTTATTAAGAGCCGCCTCTGTTTCCGGATCACTGAGGATCTCTCCCTCTGTCTGTGTTTGGCGGCTTGTGGCCGTTGGTAGTTTGCTTTGATTTGCTGTGCAGGTTTCCCGAGGCGTGCAAGCTCATTCCCACCCAGGCCTCTGTTCTCTGGCGATTTCCCTTGAGACTCTGGCTTTATGGTGAAAAACACTCATTAGTCTGGACCCAAAACTCCTCAGTGGGTGACTTTGTGTCCCTCACCACCCAAACGAAAGATCTTCTGCGTGTCCTCATTACTCTGACAGCAATATGAAAGGTTTAGTGTTACACTGTAAACTGGGAAGTTCACAGGATGGAATAAGCAGTGTAAGAATTTACTTTCTACAAGGAGTAAATAAGTAATTTGTGAGTGTTTAAAAGGTAAAAACTTACATGTTTGGTAACAGCCCCAACACTGGCTGGAACTGATTTAACGGAGAAAAAAAAATTTACAGTAATGATGCGTAGTTCCAAAAGAAAGAAAAAAGACAGCTCAAGTAAATTTAATCTGCTTGGCGCATCCAGTCTTTGGATGAACTGCTGTCAGCAGAGCCCCCTGCTTAAAATCCACTGTTTATTTGACTCTCATCGGTAAGGACAGAAGCCACTGCAGTGTTTGAATTATCACAAGTGGAAGATGGTGTGAGGTAAAGCAGACGAGATGGCATTGCACTGTTTTATAAATGTCTGCTGTTGTTAAAGTGGTTGGCAGAAATTTTGCAGCCAGTGTCCAAATATAGACTATTTGTGCATTTAATAAAGACTGAGGCTGGATTATTGGGGTGATACTAATTTCTAAGGAGTAAAAAGAAAACCTTTTATTAATGTATTAGCTGATATTGAATTAACTTTCATAGTATTTTGAAGGCCAATATACTCAAATCTATATCTAATTTATGAAAAATGTGAATTGCATCTGGTGTCCATTTCCAGCTTCTGTGTCCACAAAAATGACCTTCATGGGATAAATATGTCACTCACACTAGGAAGGGAAAATTCAGCCAAACACGAACACAGCATCTCGTTGAGTAAATGAAGCGGATCAAACCGGCCGGATCTGATTATCAGATGAAAGCTGACGAATGTGGAAGTCCTGTAATTTGGCCTGTATGGTTTCTCTGCTCTACAGCTGTAAAATGAAGATGGGTCAATCAATATCACATCAATGCATTTCTTTCTGCGGGCTTTGATAGAAATCAGACGCTGAGCTTGTATTGATAACTTTGACTTGCATGTGTCACAGTTTATTTAGAGCGTGAAGAGGACGTGTAAGGATTGCAGAATAGGCCTGACTTTTCTTTTTATTATTTAACAGGTGGGGGACACCGTAAAAGTGACCAAGATCAACGTGAACGGCCAATGGGAGGGTGAATGCAAAGGCAAACGAGGCCACTTTCCTTTCACCCACGTTCGGTTGTTGGAACAGTACTATCCAGACGACGAGAGCTGAGAAGCGCAGGCTCCCGTCACCTCCAGCACATCCCCTCGCTTTCAGTTTCGTCATGCTGGAATAGAAGAAGATTTCTGCAAGCACACACTATATGAAACTCTGAGCTAAACTGGTCAGTGTTTCCTACCCACCCCAACATGTGATGTGTTGGCTGATCTTGTCTAATGTCTTTTTGATGAACCCCAGTCATATTAAGAGTTCACCCTGTGGTCGGACTGATATCGGTTTGCCTGCATTGTGAAACATCACTGCAGACACACTGAAGTACATGGCAGCATGTATTGGTTCACCCAGGATGACACTGGAAGGTCCGTTAACGGTTTGACGAGAAAGGCCTTTATTTAACCGTTTTGAGGCAACCAAGAAACAAACAAGTCAAGAACTTGCTAAACTTTTTTGTATAATCATAGTTTAAAAGATATAAGAACAATAGGATTTTGCTTTAGCGTGCTTACACACCTAAAGTTTTCACTCAGGTTGGGGGAAACATGGGGTTTTTATCTTAACTAAAATCTGCAGTCGTACTCAGGTACAGGTTTTCCAATTTAAAGTAACTAATATTTAATTTTAATACAAATCCAAAAGTTAAACCACTGTTTAAATACATGTGATCAGATAAACTGTCACAGTAATGTCCTGATCAATCTTTGTATCCAATCTCTATAATTATGCAAGAATGGGGTAGCCAAAGTAGTTGGTATGAGTGAGTTTGTTGTGCTTATGCAACAGTTTTTCCTTAAAACGTAAACTTTTTAATCTTTTTTAATCTTATTTTCACCCGCTGGGCACAGTTTATATAATATCAGGCCCAGCCAATAACCTTAACACATTTCTTTATTAGACTAGCTAATGATGACGTCTGCCTGTAACCACAGCTGTTACTGTCAAGTCCACATCTTTTTAACACAGAGCCCTCAAAGTCCACTAGTGTGAGGTTTGTCTTTTTGAGCAAGGACGTATCTTCACTCTGGTGGACTTCAGCTCTGTGTACTTGTAGTAAATTTGTGTAAACTGGTAATGTCAGAGCCAAAATACAGTTATCAAAGGCCCCCCCCCCCGCTCAGAGGGCGTTGATGCTACACAAGTGTACTGATTCTGAGCATGTTGATCAAACACAGCTAAACCTGTTAATACCTCCTATTTAACAGAGGTATTGAATAGAAAACGTATTAAAGACGGCACAGGTGACCGATATCAGTCAAACCCCGGTTTACGTGCTTCCATCCCAGTATTGAAATCATCACATCACACAGCAGAGTCATCCTCCTCCCCGTTGTATCCGCGCATCTCCAGCCACTACCTTTCACTGACACCTGCAGGAGGGAAATGGAGATAAAACGGGAGATAAAACACTGCGGCTCTCACAGATGTGTGTGTCTGTGAGAGATTTTTTTGTTTGCTTGTGCTAGACTGTGAACCTCAGAGTGAAACCAACAAAGACTTTACCTGATGACTGTCCTGTGGAGACAACGTCACCACTTTACCACACCCTACACTACAAACCAAGTCCTCTTTTTTTGTTGTTGATGTACAAAAAGTGGAAAATAATATTATAGAATTAACTCTATATACATGCACACCTTACATGCTAAATACTGTAAACGTTTCCCCTCTTTATGCTGATTTTCTCTTACTTTGTATGGCCAGAGAGTGTACACCTTTTTTATTTTTCTCTTTTAAGACGCAGAAATGCGAAAGAACAAAACGAGCACCCTGTCACAGAGGAAGGAACAATCCCGTGAGGCTGCTTTATTAAAGGATGCAAGGAGAAAGGTTGAGGGATTTTATTTTTGTCATCCTGGTGGGCTGATACGACAGTCATTCAGAGACGCTTTTAAGATAAAATCCACCACCTAAAAAAAGTATTACTGCTAAAACGGACATGTTTTTTCATGTTGTTTCTCGTGCCATAAGGGTGCCATGGATGGCATTTGCTGTAACTTTGTTTGTCATCTTGAGCACACAAAGCTTTTATAAACATTCACAGTCCTGCTGGCACCGTGGCATTATAAATAGAAAGCTGAAACTCATCTGTTACTAAGGACATGTTTGTTCTCAGAAACGAGGAGAGGAATCAGCAACTTGGGATTTTTTATTTTTTTTTTGTAAATTTTGTCGTTAGTACAGACTTGACAATGGTTGTGAAATGCGGTGAGTGGCATTGAAACTGATAAAACACGGTGTGTGTGTGAGTGTGTGAGGGAGGGGGGAAGAGTCTTAAATTGGGGGTGTGATTGGTTGCACCCTGTATTTTTACCAGGTCAGAAACTCATTTATCATCTTTGTCAGGATGCATTCAAAGATTGAGTTGCTGGCAGTGCTTACTGAAACAGGAACCCCTGCTGCACATAGATTTTTTTTGTTTTGTTTTGTTTTTCTTGGTCACGAGGGAGGGTCCGCATCCTCCGCGGACCTGCCTTATATTTGTTCTTGGAAAAGATGAGAAGTTAAATTGGGAAGTGACTGGCTTGAAGTTGAAGTCTCGAGGACACACCCAGAATTGCATGTTATTTTTCTGGTTCTCCAAAATTAAGAAGTTCAGACCTGCCCTGGAGCTAAAGCGATAAATGATGCCTACGTGTCCCTCCTATGGTTATTAGGGGACGGAGGATGAGAAGATGTTCACCTCACACCTCGCAGTACAGATCTGGGGTTCTCAAACTCTGTGGGAGGGGAAAAAATAACACCCCACAGTTTGAATTTGTCAGTAATGTGGAAGAGTGGTCCAAAAAAGAATTTTTATCTCACTGGAGATGGTCCAGTGCAACTAACAGACTCCCTAAAATACACACAGAAGTATTTTTCACCTTGTTGCCCACACCTGTGCAGTTTGAGAACCACTTATGTCGACCCCAGTGTTAGCGACACCTGCCTTCTCTCAGATATTATGGAACTAAACTCGCCACGTCGCTCTCAGAGCATCCAAAAACAGACACGTGCAGATGTTCCAGTGTCAGGGTAGTGTGCTCGATGTGGAAACAGTAACTGTTACACTTTCACCTGTGAATAAACCTCTTCCTACATAAATGCATTCCCCCAGGAGGTAACTGCCCCCTACCGTCCAAATGTGTGCAGTAAGGGGGGGGGGGCAAAAGAAATGCTTTAAAAAATTTGGGGAAATGAGGGGACAGATCAGTTGAGTAATTGGAGGTAAACATTTGTCTGCTTTTTTTTTTCCTCTTTTCCCTTTCACTCTTTTTTTTGTGTGTAACTGTATGACAGCAGTATCTGTAAGCTAGTTACTTGCATACCTATCTTAAAGGTTGTAACTTGTCAGATTTTTAATATTTGTTTTCGTTAGTTTAGTAGCTAGAAAGGGTTTGTTTATTTCACTTTAGTTTTGAAAGTATTTAGTTAGTTTGGTTTTTATTGGTTTCACGGGTAGTTTTAGTCATTAGTCTTTAACTGGCTGTCTTAATCTTTAATTTATTATTATACAGGGGTGTGGTTAATGTTGAGAAATATGACCAAATAGAGCAAAAATGAAATCTTCTCTATGTTAGTTATTGTTTGCTGTATTTTTTCTTATTGTATTTCACACACATTTTTTTTTTTTTTTTTTTTTTTTAAATAAACCAAAAAAGAAAAAAAACTTTCACCGCTTCCTTCTGCACAGGCTTGTGTGGTTGGGCAGAAAGGAAAAAGTAGTGCCCTACATGAAGCTTCTCACAACAATTTGTTGGGGATTTATTTGTTTTATTTTATTTTCCCTGTGTGTGTGTGTGTGGTTAACAAATGATTATGATTCTTGGAAGGAGATGTCGCTATGTGCTTTTCATATGAATTTCTGTGCGCTTGGAGCTTCACAGGGCGAGTCCAGTTTAGTTTCTATTCAAGAGAAGGCAGACGTCTCCAAAACATGATGCAAGAAGGTGAATCAGAACTTTAAAAATACCAGTAATAAATCTATAATAATGATGCCATCACAGGCACGTTTAGTGATAAAACCTACGGGGGTCCTTAAAGTGCTTTAAATGATAGCAGCTGTGTGTTGGTGGGGAGGTTGGACACAATTTTCAAACACATTTAAGAGCGCAGAAGCTGTGTTGAGTTTACATTGTGTGTAATTTTCCTTCATATTTCTTTTGTTGAGATTCAGATTTATGGAAAATATTTTTGTACACCATTAATGTCATGTTTTATAACCATATACAGTATGTACAGCCCCGTTTGTGCTGCATTAATAAATCCATGCAATATTTCCACGTCCCAAAGGAGACATTTTTGAGTGCTTTGTGTGGAACGTGACACAAATGAAACCTGCTGCTGCTGTCTTGGTGATTGTGGGGTGAAATGGAAAGCTTCTTTTAAAAACAACTATAAAATCTGGTGTGAAATGGTGATTTTTATTTTTCAAACGGTCGTTTGTGATTCCTTTTCTGGTTTACTGCTGATTTTTGGGATGTTCACCTCACTGTTACTCAGTTCTGCCACATTAGTTAAAGACCGATCACCTACAAACATGCACCTTATCTAGTGGTGATTTCAGAACAAGCAAAAATTGTATTTCTTTTCAGGAGATTGTACAATGAGTCAAAATCTTTTATTTTGAAGTCAAAATTAGCTTTTTATCTTCTGTAGTGTGTAATCTATCAATGTATCCTAGTCAATAAATATACACGTAATTGTCAGGGTGCACTTTATCGGTGTGTGAAATTATTCCGTTTATCTACATTCAGGGTTGATAAATGCTAAGTTTACTGTATGCACATTCTACAGAAAAGGTTTGGCTTTAGCTTTAGTTTTCATTACACAACAATACAAAGACTTGGACAAGTGGAAGAGGATGGATGGTGGGAATAATACAAACATTTGGGACTCAGTCACAAAGACATCCCAGTATCAATAAATACTGGGACTCAAGCCTCCTGTTGCTGGTTATGAAGACAAAAATTTAACATTAAAACAGTAATTTCTAGTGTATATCAGTTTCTTTGGTTTAGTACATTGTATTATTTAAGGTTAGGCTTCATTTAAAAAAAAAATCCTTTCATATTTTTTCAGATAACTAAAATATGTCTCGACATTTAGCTTTAGTTCAGTTTTACTAACTTATGATACTCTTGGTAAAGTAATTATTAATATAGTTATTTGGAAAATAATAATAAAAAAATAAAGTGCTTTGTGCTTTCTTAACATGTTAGATTGCAAATTCAACTGCACTCTTCAATGAAGAGTGTAAGTGAATTATTAAGGCGTTAACATTAAGGTGTTGGAGGGTTTTGAATTTACTTAATTTACTTAGAGGACAGTTTATTTTGAGACTTGGTTTTTTTTGTATTTTTCAGTTTTTTTATTTGATTATTTTTCTATTTTATTTCTAAATGTATTTCATAAGGTTTTTTTTATCTTATGTTTTAAATTATTTTTAACTGTATTTCATTACTTTTTCATTTATTTTTATTTTTTTATTTATTTTCTTTAGCTTATTTTTTAATTTTATTTATATTCCGGACCTTTTTAACTTATTCGTGTGTATTCTTTCTTTGTTTTTTTAATGACCTTAATTTTTTATATAACGTGAAGTTTATTTTTTAATTTCAGTTTTATTTAAATTTATTTACGTGACTTTTTTATTCATTCACGCACTTCTTTTTTTTTTTTTTTTTTTTTTAAATCACTACCTTTATTATTGATTTTATTTGAATATATTTTATTGACTTGGCTGGAGGCGTGGATGAGTCCGCTGCGTGGATTTCCCGGATGGAGCAGCGGCGCCATCTTTACGCCAGTGCTACCGGTGGCTCTTCGGTTCAGCGACGCGACAGTGCTGTTGCTGATCCACCACCAGGAATCGCAGAGCAGCCGATAATCCTCCCTTTCCACTGGGACGCCACGAAAAGCCCCAGTATCCGAGCACCATGGCGGACAGAGAGAACTTAGTATACCAGGCTAAACTCGCCGAACAAGCGGAGAGATATGACGGTAAGGCTGCGGACAGATATCGGTGGTTGCAGACCGCCTGGCCCCTCTTTCCCCCTCTGTCTCCCTGCGCAGGGGGTTTGGAGACGCAGGTGAAGCAGTTCACATGGATTTGTTGGGTGAGACGAGACAAAATGGCGGAGGTTTCCCCAGCCGAATGAAACAATATACGTTTAAATGTAGTTTTCAGCTCATGAGGAAGGCGCAGCCAGCGTGCTGGAAAGCGTGTCCCGCGGTGTGCACTGCTGCCAGCGAACATTTGTGTTAGTTACGCAGTGCTAAGCGGTTCTTCTTAGTTAGCGAGCTATTAAACGGCTAACTAGCTGGCTAGCCTTTCTTCAGCCCCGTCACGCCGAACTCCATTCAAAAAACCACGACGAATGCCCATACCACTACAAACACGACCTGCAGCTCCGCTGACGCTGATCTTTCTGATCAATAACGAGTGGAAAATCCCCAGAAAACGGCTCCAGTTATTGCTTACAAATCGGCCCCACAAAGGGTTTCAAGAGAAGACCGTGTGGCAGTGAGTCTGATGGAAAACGTGCACGTAATTAAGCTCTTAAAATCACGTTTGAGGAATTTCTGTGCGGATCAACTTTTTTCTTCTTCTCTGAGGGGCTTCTCAATTTGCGCCGTAGCTGGCAAACTACAAGGTGTTTTTCAGCCTGGTCATTATAAGATGTTAGTCTTGTACCTAAACTGTAATCTTGATCAGAAGTCCAGATGAGCCAGTACCTGAAGAGTTTTAGTTTGCCTTTAGTGCCTTTCAGTAATCTCAAAAAATATATTAGTAAATGTACACAGTCATGAGGCAAGGAAATGTTATTAGTATTGCCTGCCTTGCAGTTCCTTAGTTAAATTCCTCTTTCTAGAAACTGCATATTGCCATGCAACAAGTAAAATAAGCCAAAGCAGCCACCACAAACATGACACATTTCATTCTTCAATTAGAACAGTAATTTACTCAGTTGTTTAAATAGAACTAATATTAAGCACAGAGGCGGTCTGTTTGTGCTGTTTTTGCCACCGTTTATAAATAAAGCTAACATTTGGTCTGTTGCTGCTAGTGTATAAACTCCATGTTGTGGCACAAATGAGTCAAGTTTTCAAGTGAAAACAGCTGTTAGCGTTGAGTTATCCTCACCTGATTCCCTACATAGACTGTATCAAAAAGATGTAAATATAGTGACATCACCCATTGGCATCTGAGGTCCTATTTTGAAGGCTTTCGCCATCGCGGTTTAAAAACGAATCGGATGTAACGAGGAGGGGGTGCTTCTTTACTGGCAAAGTAGCTCGCTAATTGTTAGCCTTAACAATGAGCGTAATGATCTTTACAAGCCCTTGAGCCCATAAACTGAGCAGGAACGTACTTGCGGCGAATTTCTCATGAACATCAATAGTACCGGAAGTCTTTTTGTAGCTCAGCTGTCGCTGTCTGGTGGTGCAGATTTACTGCAGCAGACATTGCCTTTGTTTCCAATGTGGAAGCTACGTCCATGTTTAAAACCATCTCTGTTTCCTTGTTACTGTGTTTTGGCAGAGCTGCAAAGCAAGTCTCCTTTTAAATAAACTGACGGTAGGGCTCCTCAATTAGTTATTGTGGAGTCTTTCCACACTTTTGACGGAGCCGCTTCCAACAGGCTGTAAGTTAGCATTACCCAGCATGCCCTAGTTTACTCTTCAGATTATAGTGCCATGATGTTTGCCCTTTTTAAGAGTGCTAGCAGAGGATGTTTAATTCTTGTGTCATATGACTAAAACCGTGTGGAAGACAGATGCTCGGTTCGTCGCTCTGCATCGCTCCCGGTGGTCAGTATAGAAACCACAGCTGGCTCTTTGGCTGTTCTCCAGTTTATCAGTATTTGAAAGATTCGTGTCATGCGTGGAATTATGACCAGCATACCGCCCAGCCCTGGTGTAAAATGGCCTACCTCCTGCTGTGTGCAGGAGTTTATGCGTGAAAACATCGCTGATGTGTTAAACTGTGCACTTTCCCATTTCCCAAGTTTGTCTGCAGCTGCTGGTATTAATTGCAGCCATTTGGTTCAGAGTGTCTGCCTCTTTTTTTGTAGATGGGGTGCAGAAATTTCCCTGCCGTCAATATAAATTTGCATTTAATCATGCATTTTATGGGCTAATCATTGTGCAAACAAACACGCCAGTGTCTGTGTTTGTGCTATTTTTAGGCTGGTCTGTCTTTCTGGGGTGCTGCTGCTTATAAAAAGCTTCCAGCTGAAGTAATTGAGGAAGAGAAACAAAGGCAAAAAGGAATAAAACATCACAGGAACAGGTTGCTGCAGTACAGGCAAAAGCAAGCTTTTCCTGCATGTAGCTGGAAAGTAACAATTTCAAACAAGCAGAAATACGATAATGGCTAATGCATATTGGATTTGGTACTTACGCAGTGCTTTTCTACTATAATTAATGCTTCATAGAAGTATTTCTCCTATGCCTAAGTGCTTTTAACCTAACATTTCCACACACTCACCCTCTGATGGTTGTATCAAGGGCAACTCGGGGTTCAATATATTGCCACAAGAATACTTCAACATGCAGACTGGAAGAGTCACTCACCCAGTGCTGTTGAAATGTCGACAGCACCCCCTGCGCCCGGTGTTTGGAAATAAATGATTGGACAAGAGCCTTCCTCTCTTCTGATCCACTTTTCAGCTACTGTGGAGATCTCCAGGCCTCTCGTTGAACATGTTGGCACCTGCAGAATTCCTTTGCTAGAGGTCGTGGACGTAGCTTCTGGGGCACAAAGCCGAAGCAGAAATCTGCGTTCGTTTTGTGCTCAGTCACTCATTTGACAGCATACTGAATAAAAAAATTAAATCAATTTTGTATATTTTGTAAATTTAGCACTATGGTAAAAACGGCTGAGAGCGGACCAGCGGGCATCCTTACATGATGGACTTAATGGGCTGTGTCGAGCCCATGTAGTTTTGGTTCACAACCAAAATCCTAGTTGGCGGTGGAGTTTCTCTTTTCTAGTCAGTTTGAAAATTGGGTGTAGAAGAAGTAGTAGCCAGAAATGCACTAGAGGAAACAACAATACTGAACTGCCGGGTTAATGCGAGCTGTGGTTTCTAAGGAGGTGCACAGCACGATGTGGCTTACACTTTCAGAAAGTTTGTGGTTATGATGTGCCCACGGTGTAGATTCAAAGCAGATGTAGAACAGCCCTCACGTTAAATACATCTCCTATAAATTTCATTTTTTCCAAAGTTGAATACCTGAGCATTTAAGTAAATGAATAACAGTGTTACATAATTGAGATCACTGATAAAAAATTGAGTTTTTTAGTATTCAAACAGAGATGCATGTCACTTTTACTTACCTACATCTTTACTATGATAGGGAGTAGCTTTGTCTGCCACCGCACAGCTAAAAAAGGTCATGAACGTCTATTGTGCTTGTGCAGATTCCTTTTAATGACTTGGTGTCCAAATACAGCCTGTGGAGGCTTCACTTGAAAAATGCTTTAAAAGCACGAGGAGCTCACTGATTTGCTCTGAGAGCAGGCCGAGGTGGAGCAGCATGTTGAGTCCTCCTGGTTTGTAAACCAGCTCATTGCTCCTGCTGACTGTATCTGATCATACGTCACAAACTGGATGATTGGCACTTGTATTTTCCCTCCAGCGCTGGGCTGGGCGACAAGGCAAGAAATTACATCCAAATTAGATGTTTTAATGTGGTGTGTGGCTTGTTTTAACCACTTTTTGTCTTTCATCCTGCCATCTTTGATGCTTCTTATGTAAGTTATTACATGCTAGAATAAAGGTATTTCTTTTTAAGTTGAAACAGATCCAGTTAATTTTCGGTGTTTGTGTTCTTGATTAAAGAGGCTCCCCGTTGCCTCATTTATTTGACTCCTCGGGAAGAAGCTCGTTGTGCTGATGAATTACTCCTGAGATAAGTGCCAATCGTTTTGTTTTGCTGCCATGAATCAAACATGAGATGTTTTAAAGTACTGAAGATGATCTGGCTCAGCCCTCTGGTTTAATGTTCTGGCTCAGTTTCCATCGCCTCCCCGAAGGTGTCCACGATGGTAAATGTCTACATTAGAGGAGTTTATAATTGGTCAGCATCCCGGGCGCTCCATTAATAAATCACTGAAGATGACAGAAACCTTTCAGGACTGAGCTAATGGAATGAAGATGTGCTTGTTTTTAATTTAAAAACAATGAATGTTAATAACGGTAATGAAGACTCAGTGCTGAATATTAAAGCAGAAATATTTTCACATTTACCTTTTCTGTTGTTTAACCCAGCAGAAAATTTCTCTTTATTATTCCAATCAGATGTAATGAAATTGATGCAAATTTCCTATTTTTGATCTTGAAATCTGCTAGAGTAGCTTTGCATGATTCACAATTGAAAGTGGTCATTATTTATTTTAAATATGCCCACTGCCTGAACCAAGCCATGTTGGCTCCTCTCCCTTTTCGCACTTTTTCTTCTGATTGGCTACCTCTTGCAAACAGAAGGTCTGAACACTAGGAAGTTACTGCTTCTGTGGTCCTTTTTTAAAAAGTAAATTTAATACTTCAGCTCAAATATTGGAGTATTAGCTCCTTCAGCAACCCCTCCTTTAAACCTCCTTAATTCTCCTAGAGTGGCTTTGCATGATTCACATTTCAAAATAATCTTTGTGTTAAATTAGGCCTCAGTGGAGCCTCTTGACTGTCTAAAAGAGGGGTGGGGGAACTTCAGACCTCAAGGGCCGGTGTCCTGCAGGTTTTAGATCTCGTCCTGGGTCAACACACCTGAATCAAATGATTAGTTCATTACCAGGCCTCTGGAGAACTTCGAGACATGTTGAGGAGGTAATTTAGCCATTTAAATCAGCTGTGATTGGATCAAGGTCACATCTAAAACCTGCAGGACACCGACCCTTGAGGCCTGGAGTTCCCCACCCCGGGTCTAAAACAAGAGGGCTCCCCTATCCCCACCCTTCAGAAAGCATTTTTCTGATTGGATCCCCTCTCCTATGTGGGTGAAGCTTCAAACAGCCTGAAACTGAGTTTAAAGCTTTAAAAGGAAAATCATGGTAGTTCCAACATTGCTCCCCTCGTCCTGTGGATAATTCACCCGACATTCAGCCGTTTGTTTCTATTTTGCTTCTTTCAGAAATGGTGGAGTCGATGAAGAACGTGGCGAGTATGGACGTGGAGCTGACGGTGGAGGAGAGGAACCTTCTCTCTGTAGCGTACAAGAACGTAATCGGAGCCAGGAGAGCCTCCTGGAGGATAATCAGCAGCCTCGAACAGAAAGAAGAAAACAAAGGAGGCGAAGACAAACTAAAGATGATCCGAGAATACAGGAAAACGGTCAGACACAGTTTAAACCCACATCTGATGCTGTCCTTGTTTTTCATTCTGATTCTGCTCTTACCACACGTGATTTTATTTTTTTTCTTCTTGCCACTACTTCACAGAGTGATTAAAAAAACAAACCCTCAGGACTGAGGTAGCACTGGTTAGACATTAGTACCTGCACAGTTATTTCATGTTGATGAGAGCTCTCCTCCAGGAAATGGTTTCACAGCCCAAAATGATGAGGCAGGTGGCAGCCACGAAATAACTCTAAATCGCTTTTTCCCCCAATTATGCTCCAGAGAAACTCCCAGTAACAGCTGAATTCAGAGAACGCCCACTGTGGGACTAACTGCATGCTGACTCTGGAGTTAAATCCCCTAAGCTCTATGCTACAGCTGCAAAACTTGATTATTTTATTAATAAAGTATTCTATCGTATCCATCCAGTAATCCTATGAGAAATACTTTTCTTAATAATCATAATAAATATTCAAGAGATAAAAAAACAAACAGGTCTTTCAAAATGAACCGCAATGTTTTAAACATCAGTCAAATAAAAAGCTCAGCTCATTCCTTTTAAATAATCACCAGCACAGTAAAGTCAAATAGACCTACAACCTACACTAAGACATAAAGTTAGCCAGCCTTTACTCTTCTTTCTTACATTAGCATGAGGCAAAAAAAAAAAAGAGTTCAGTTTCATCTCCTGGATGAGGTCAATTTGGGATGTGGGGTGTGTGTGCTTAAATGTACTAGTGAGTAAGAATATGGGCCTGTAAGCCTGTAGAAAATAAAGAACGACGTATAGAAAAGTGAGCATATCAGCACTCTCAGAACTGAAGTTTCCTGCTGCAGACGTTCTGATGGTGTAGATGTTAATAGTAATTCAGTGTCCATGTTAACGGCTACAGGTCAGCGGCTCAGTTTTACTGCCGTGCAAAAAAAAAAAAAGACTTAGAAAAGTACTTTCAAATATTAATACAGTTTATTTAATTAATATATTTTGTGTTGATTCGAATCTAACTCTGAAGCCTTGAATTGCAGGTCTATTTTTAGTCGTAAATGTGGGTGAAGCGCTTGCGCTTACATGGTGACAGCTGAGCGCTACAGAGTTGTGGATTAAACAAAGCATCGAAGCAAATGCATTATATTTAGGTTTTTTTAGAATTATGTTATTCAACTTTCTCTGGTCTCAGCTATATTTATCATTATTTTATACAAAAAGCTTTTTTCACCTTTTTGTTTTGTTTGCTGTTTTGTTAATGGACCTCAAAATGAGCTTCATAGATGTCAAATATTCATTTGTTAAAATGTGTCTCATAACCTAAAAATAAAAAAGATAAAGGAGAGAGGTCTGTCGTAAGTAGCCATCATATTACTATATAATGAAGGCTTTTATTGTGAAAAGCCAGGAAGAAGCCCTGTTTGCTTAAGTGGAGACCAGACCAGGTCCCTGGTCCAGGTAATAAGTTAACCATCAATGGGAAGCATTTCTTTATTTCTTTGTGGCATTGTTTACTGCTTATTTGTTACTATGGAAAAGGCACAACAAGTTGGGAAAAGTTTTTATAGCATTAGCTAGCACAAGAGTGGCTGTCAAACACTGTCAGGTTAGTGCTGTCTAATTGAACACGCCAATATCTGCACATCTGCAAAGGTCTCAGAGCACACAGAGTGAGTAGGAACATGGTGTACTAACAGAAGCATCTGTGTTTTGTTCTGCAGGTTGAGAAAGAGCTGAAATCAATCTGCAATGACATTCTGGATGTACTGGACAAGCATCTCATCTTAGCTGCTACCACGGGAGAATCTAAGGTTTTCTACTATAAAATGTAGGTATCCAGTTCATATCTGAAATTGTACTAACAAAATGAGGAAAGTGGTGTGGTCGCCCAGATTATTACAAATTATGGGACATTCTGAGTTTTTAATGTATGTTTGTTGTTGCAGAATCGATTGTTAAATAAGCAAATGTTAATTTCGGGTTGTTTGGCCATTTAACACAAACATTTGCTAACACATTTTCTCTCATTTTGTTAAGATACTGTTGGGTTGTGATGCCTTGCATAACTAGACTAAACTTTTAATCACAAATGACAGTCTGATATTTATTATTTAGTATTTTTCTCCGTTTCTGTGGCCTTATTTAGAGGAGCACAGCCCTGTCCCATTTAGAATAAACCATTAAAGGTTGAGGTGAAGCTGAAGTCTGGAGGCTGTGGGGTAAAAATCATGCACTGTGCAGAAACTGGCCTGTCAGAAAAATTGGATGCATTTTTAAGCTCCATCTCCCACGATGAAATGGTACACGGTACCTCTCTTAAATTTAAAAAGTAGATGATTGAAGGAAAATCACAAACTTGGGAGTAAACGAAGCTTGTTTCAGGAGTGTTTTGCTTACTCTGTTTAGTTGCCCTCTAAAAGATGCTTCTCTGATTAGAATTGTGCCCTAGTTAAGGGGATTAGGCGCCGGTCTAACTGTACTTATGATCCTAATGTGGTCTTTGTTCATTTTTATTAAAAAAAATCTTTTTCCATGATAAGTATTAACCAATACCCCTGATTTATTTTGAACAGTTAAAAGTGGCTTTACCCTTCAAATTGCCCATATGTTCTTCATGGCCTTTGTGTTTGCCCCACTCAGGAAGGGAGATTACCACAGGTACCTGGCAGAGTTTGCCACAGGCAACGACAGGAAGGAGGCAGCTGAGAACAGTTTGGTAGCGTACAAAGCTGCGAGCGACATCGCCATGATCGAACTCCCATCAACGCACCCCATCCGTCTGGGACTGGCCCTTAACTTTTCTGTTTTCTATTATGAAATCCTCAACTCGCCGGACCGTGCTTGCAGGTGAGTGCATGAGATCGAGTTGTTTTTGATGTGTGTGTGTGTGGGGGGGGGGGCACGAAAACAACAAAACAAGTTTGACGTCTGCAAGCAGGACTTCCTGTGGCGTCTTTGATGGGGCTCCGGGGGTTTTACATCACGTGAGGCTTCAAGATTGTTAGTGAACTGAAAGGAAACTACAAACTAAAAAAAAAGCTGTGAAAGTAAAAGCAGTTTGTGGATGTCATCTTATGCTTTTTAATGGAATGATTTATAGAAAGAAATTTAAAATTTAAGTCAATTTTGTGCTGTTCAGTAGTTTATTTATTTCTTAGTTTTGTGGTAGGCTGAAAAAAGAAGACTTGGATAATATAAGCAGCTTGGACTCTCGGTCTCTCATTACTGCCTTTCATTACTCATTACAAAGAGGAGCATCGTTTAGGAGTTGAGCCATCCAGGGTGCCAGATGAAATGATTCATGAACTGGCTATTCAACCACATTGACTTTATTTTGACTCGTCTCACAGCGTAGCTTATCGGCAAAGGACTACAGTTTTCCAGTTTGGAAAAAAGATCACACTGGCACCAGCCGGTCATTTGTTTGGGTATCTCACCAGGCTGCTTCCTGGAGAGATACCAGGTTGGCCATGGGAAGAGCCTCCAGGGAACATTTGGGAGTATATCTAGATAAGTTGGAGAAGGTGAGCAGGGTTTAGCTTGCTGCACTTGCAACCTGGACCCAGATAAGGAGCAGAAAATGAATAGATGGCACACATAAATATTCAGAATGGTCCATGGATTAAGAAAAAATAATTAGATTTTGGACACCAGATGTGATGGATGAATGGTGGATCCGACTGTCACACTTCCACATTTGCTTCACTTTTGATATGTCTCTGCTTCCACTGTGTGAAGTGAATCCTCAGCTCCTCTGTGTTGGTTCGTATCTTCTCTGCTGACAGGTTGGCGAAGGAAGCATTTGACAATGCCATTGCAGAACTGGATACCCTGAGTGAGGAAAGCTATAAGGACTCTACGCTTATCATGCAGTTGCTACGTGACAACTTGACACTATGGACCTCAGATGTGCAGGGAGATGGTGAGAGAACCATGACTTTACTGTTCAGGCTTAGTATTTCTGCTTTCTTTGTTTGCCCCTTTTTTATTTCTGCCTCTTTTATGGTCAAAAATCTAGCAAACAGGTTTCGTCCGGCCTTTCCTCTGAGTTCTGTGGTTTCTACACTGCTCCAAAAAATTACTGGATAACTATATTGATATGGGCATGGTAATGTGTTAGGATGCTACATCATTTGACAGAAATGAAAGCTTTTAACATACAGAGAGCTAAATCCAAAGATGGCAGACTAGTGCATTCTGCCAGAATTTCACTGCAGCAACGCAAAAATGGTACTATGGTAGTTTTTATTGCACCCACGTGCTTGCATCCATGCCTGACAACCTCGGGGCATTCTCCTTAAGAGATGGTGTCCACCAGGATCTCCCAGATCTGGACCAGGGCATCACTGAGTCCCTGGGCGGTCTGAGGTCTGGCAGCATTGGAAGGACCAAAACAAAATGTTGTTCTATTGGCGGATGCTGGGGCCAATCAGTGGTGTAAAGAGCCTGCGTGCATACTCTCACTACATGAGGCCGGGCATCATCATGCACCAGGAGGAACCAGGACCCACTGCACCAGCGTAGGGTCTGACAAACCTTCAGGCAATAGCACGTATTGATGTACCATCCTGGAGGAGTTGGACTACCTGTGCAACCTCTGTAAGATCAAGGTATCGGTTCATGCTACCAGTAGTGACAGTGACCCTATCCAAACATAAAACTAGAGAAAAATCAGCCAGAGAAGATGAGAATTTTAAAGGTGGAGGCGTCTGGCATTTTTTTCCCTTAACCACCCCCTCTGCTTCTTAACTGACTAGATCAGTATCCCCCAAGTTTAGCTGACTTGGTGCTAAACTCTGATTAAAAAGTGTTTAATTTTTTTGAGCAGTGTATAAAATCACTCCCTCCTTTCAGGGTCGATACTCATGAAATCTTTTAACTTCTCTCCCCTGTAGATTCTTAAGGACAGCCCTCCTCCTTCTCTCTTCTCTGTTTTTAAAGGTCTATTTTGTAAGTCATTCCTCTTGTCTTGGGCTTTTTTTCCACCTCAAGCCGTTAGTCTTGCCTCACCACCCTAACATCCCTCACTAACTTACTCACATCACCAAGTCCAGTGTTTTTAGGGGTACAGAGCGGTAATTTGTCGCATTGTGTTGCTAACCTCTTCCACTTTTTTCAGCACTATGTTTGATTGTCTTCAGGGTGTCCGCAAGTCAAAAAAAACTTAGATAAAAGGCTGAAATACCTCCCAGTAAACAGCTGACGTCCCGAATCTGCTTCTTGGCCTAGTCAGATTTTCAGTATAACTATTTATCAAATGAAGTAAAACACATTCACATCGGAGTTGTAACAATTTAAACTACTTTAAATGGCAGTTTTGTGTTTTTAACCTTTCATGAAGTAATATTTAGGTGCTTAATAATATTACAAAAGTATATCCAGACTGTCTTTGAGACCAGTTTGACACATCAGGGGTGGCTCTAGCTCAGGAGGTAGCTGGTCAACTACTAAAACGCTTTGAATAGCACTGTATAAGAACCAGACCATTTACTTTAAATGTCTTAATGAGAAAGATGAAGCGTCACTATGCCAAGGTTTTTAAGTATCATAGTGAGGTGCAGTTACACAAAGTAACTAAATCTAGCTATAAAATGTAGCTTATTTGTCCCTTTGCTCAATATTTTAATTCTTATCCTCTACAAGAATGGCTTTGCATGGTTACACAACTTTGTGGTTTGAAACAAGCCACCTTTATTCTGATTGGTTGCCCCTCTCAAACTCTCAATGGCATCATGCAGAGCCAAGAGTAGAAAAAACTGCGGGAAACAGTGTTTAGAGCAGTCTGAAACCTGAGCCTTGTGCATGTGCTCCCCTCATCATGTGAGCCATGTCTAATATGAGCCTCCAACACTGTGACTTTGCATAATTGATAGAAAATATTGGAAAAGTGTAACAGGTCCCCTTCAAAATTATTGTTAATCGGACGATTATCTCCATGATCAGTTATTCTAAGTGAACCAGGCGACTTCAGTTTTTATAATGTTAATTTTCCAGCTTTTAAGCTTTGCACCCTAAATGCTGGTGTCAGTCTCACAGTTGTGGGCTTGTGAATCTGAAATGTAGAAACACAACCCACCTTCCTCCTGTGACCATACAAATGACTCCATCTTCTAATTTAACCATAAGGATTTGCGGACACTCTGCTTCTTCACAAATGCACGTCGGTGTGACTGAATCCTGCACACTGGGGCATCACAGCAGATCACATGTGTGTGGGTCGGTGCTTGGAAACCTGTGAACGCAGCCTCGCGGAAGTGTGACATAACGGAGGAACTGCAGTGGCAGCATGTGAGGCTGCTGCTCCGTGTCCTGCAGTGCTCTCACATCACAGTTAGCCGCAGTGCTAATGAGCACCGTTACGCTTTCTATTTTAATCATGACAGATTCTCAGGCCTTTGTTATTTGTGCCTCTCAATGCTTCATTACACGGATGGCTGTGCGGTCTCTATGGTAACCTTTCTAAGCAACCAGTTGCACAGGTTCACAAAGCATTTCGCCCTTGTTAGTAAGTCTGCACACAGCTCCTCCTTACTGGCCTGCACGTTGACGGTCACTGGTGAAAGTTGCAGTTTGTATGTAAATGTTTGGGTTATTTTTAGCATCTGAGCGTCTCCCGCTTATTACAATGATGGTCGTTTAAACTTAAATCAGTTTAATCAGGGACATAAGTCTTTAAAATTAGATAAATTTATCACATTACAGCTGCAGACAGATTACACATGTTGCCTTATTTAAATGCATGGCTGGCTTTGTTGGACTGTATCTAAAAGATGTCTGTAGTCTCTGGGTCTGTGCATAAGTGCCTCAAAGCTGCATTCTTTCTAATAGCCACCAGAGGGGGCAGTGGCAAACTACTTCACCATTAGAAACTGACCTTTACAATGTTTAGAACACAGGCGTCGAACTCCAGGCCTCGAGGGCCGGTGTCCTGCAGGTTTTAGATGTGTCCTTGATCCAACACAGCTGATCTAAATGGCTAAATCACCTCCTCAACATATCTTGAAGTTCTCCAGAGGCCTGGTAATGAACTAATCATTGGATTCACATGTGTTGACCCAGGGTTTTATCTAAAACCTGCAGGACACCGGCCCTCAAGGCCTGGAGTTCGACACCGCTGGTTTAGAAGAACACAAACATTATGTCAGAAAAATACGTTTGTGTGATTCTTTAAAATATACTCCTCCTAAAGAGGAAAACTCCTGTAAAGGCATATGCACAAAGTTCAGCCACAGATATTCCTGTTTCCAGCTTTCAGTCAGAAAACGACAAATAGCAGCTGGTTATAAACTAACATTATACCGGCTAATGTTTGGCTTAAGTATCCTAAAAATCACACTTTCAAACTGATAAATAATTAAAGGAAATCCTCAGGTTTTACGAGAGTTTAATCACGTACTGGTCGAGTTTGACAAGATTTAAAAAAACAAAAACAAAAAACCTTTAGAAACAGCTGCAGCTCTTACCAAGAGGAATAATTCATCACCTCAGATTTAGCTTCACTGACTCATCGACTCGTTTCGGACTCGTTACACAAAGATTGATGGCATCCTCCACAGCAAATGTACGTGGATAATTCACACTGGGCATGTTGACAGCTGAGGTAAACAGCAGGCTGACAGCTTACACTCACTGCAGATGACCAGGGGATATATTGGAAAATATTACACAAAACACCCGTGGGAGCGTTTTTTTTTTTGTTTATCCCCATTCCTGGTTTGCTGATATTATTGAAATATTTTAAAGTGTGTACAAAAATGTTTTCATACACAAACATGCCAGCCACCTGCAGGTGTTTTTATTCTACGAAGCTCGAGCTGTTGGGTCTTGAAGCCCTGCTGTTTTCAACACCTCTTAATTTCATTAACCTCAAACGCTTCATTCAATGTGACAGTAGGCTACTGACAGCAAAGAGCGGTAAAAATGGGTTACTTCACAGGTGAGATCATACCTGTGTGCTGTTGAAACACTGTCACAGAACAGCAGCTGGCCAGTCTGCTTGCCCCACAGGACACAGGTTATGTCAAACCCTGTTTAATCTTCTTAATTTCACTCCATTTGGACCATAAAGGGCTTTTAAATTAGTGCCGTCATCGTACTTACTGCTCTTTATACAGCTGTTACGTACTTTTATGTGAGTATTTGATCATTTTCTGATTTACAGGCAGTTTTCCAACCATGGATGAAGCCTAAAAATTCAATATTTTAAGGTCCAGGCTAAATCCGTGACTGGCAAACCGTCCCGTAGTTTGGATATCCATGCTTCATGCTGCTCGTCACCGGTGATGCTGTTGAAATGTCTTTAAGTGTATAGCAGCAGCCCAGTGACTGTTGGTGCTTTTTGTCTCCATCTCAGGTGAAGAACAGAACAAAGAAGCACTGCAAGATGCGGAGGACGAGGCCCAGTGAGACCGAACAACACAAGACAAGCTCTCCTCCTCTTCCTCCTCCTCCTCTCTTAACTCCCTCCTCCCAGCACTGTCTCCTGTCCCCAGCCACAGTGTTCAGCTGGGTTTACTCTGCAGCCCACTCCTACTCTACAATCCCCTCCATTTCCACCCTCCTGCCCCACCTTTTTCTCCTCGTATGCACGCCATCTCCCTCGTTTTTCCCACCCTGGGGGTTTTCACTTCGTTTTATTACTTTTTCTTTTTTTTGCACGCCTGTACCCCCTTTAAGGTTCACGTCCTCTTGCACAATTTTTATTTTGCTTTATTTTGCTGTTATCATCTGTTGCCAAGTACGCTTGCCTGTATTTGTAACACGTGCAAGAGTTTATTTAAAGACGATACTTTGCTGTTTTCCGGTGTATGTGCGCGCGTGTGTTGATGATCAGTATCTTGTCCGTGCTTCGTCAGTTGTCACATTGAGGAAACACAGCAGTGATGGGAGGTTTAAAAGGGATGTGTTAAAGCTTTTTGGAAGAACTAAGTGCCCTCGTTACATTTTCTTTTTTGTGGTTACTACACCTGCTTCTTCAACACATGTTCATTTTCTTTCTTTCTTTTTTTGTTAAATTACGAAACGTCCCCCACCTCCGAGCATCGCTCTGACCTCTCTCCTTGTCCACTCTTTGGACCAAGTTTTGTGCTGCGAGGCTGTAGCGCTTTCGCTAATGGCAGATAGTTAGGTAATGGCTTTTTAACAGACAAAATGTGCATCAGTGTGAGCGTGGGAGGGGATTGCTCAACACTCTTTGATTGTAACGTAATGCAGTTTTGCATTGGCACTATATAAAAACAGTTTGGGAAATAGAGGCCTGCTGTATCTTTACTCCCCTGACTCTTTCAGGTTTTCTTCTGTCCCTTCCCTCTCCTCATCCTCCTCTTCTTCTTCCTACTCCTTCTGTTCAGTATGTGTAAAGTGAATCTGATTTGTACTACTGGATATTCTCACCGGAGCCACAAGTACCATCTGTATTCTTACTGAAACACAGCATGGAATTAACATTAAACTTCAAATTGAAAATCATGTCTCTTTCTTTTTTATTTATTTCAATTTAAAATCCATGAAATTAGGAAAAGAAATTGTCGTTGTGTTGATCAGAGGGTATCTGACCTGCAGAGTGAGAGGATATCCTTGGATCACAGTCATGGGGGCGCTGTAGGACCGGCACTTAGCTTTAACCTACAGTTAGGGCTGTAAGTTTTCAGACAATGACACACTTATTTGTAATTTTGTGTCTGTGCATCACAGTGGATTTAAACAGTGAGTGATTACAGTTCAGACTTTCATCAGGAATTAAAGGCCATGTTTATACACACAATTCTTGAGATATTGTATTAAAGTGCAATTTCAACAGCAAGTCTCAGTTTGCTCAGTTCTAGCCAATAAAGAATCTAAGAAACAGTTCAGGTAGCTCGTTACCCAGACGGTCCTGGAACCATAGAGCAGATGGTTTTTAATTCACACAAAGGTTCTTTTTTTTTTTTTTCTTTTTTTTTAAAGTTGGTCCAAAAATTACATTTGGTCATGAAAAGTCAGTAACTTTTGTCATTTGATGGTTAATTTGGTGTAGCATGAATGGCTGTGAGTGAGGAAAGCTGTAAAACCTGCAGTTAAAGGGTCAAATCCAGCCCACAGAGTCTGTGCCGGGCCAGTTCTGGGTCCCCCGGACTTGTGTTTAACACCCATGTAATAAACCATCAGCCGACAGCCAGTTAAATAGCCAGCTGGGTCTCGTTTCATTATTTCATGGCAAATTAAGCATGCATTATTGTTTCCTGGCAACACATGCCTAAACATGTCAGCCTCCAACAAAGCACAGCACTGAAACTGTTGCTGCTGTGGAAACGACAAACGTGTTTCACCGATTCAGGAACAAGTGGAACGTAGTAGATGCTTTTCATAAAGGTTTCAATTTTTTGGTCATTTGTAATCACACAATTCCTGTAATATTGCATTTTAAATTCCTAATGTTCCTAATATTTCAAAAGTTCATACTGAGAAAATCAGAGACAATATTTTATCCCAAATTTATGATGGCTTTTACAGAAACTCTCCACTCAATGGGAGTTGGATGAAAATGTGTTCTTTGTCATATTCAAGTTTTAATATCTGTGAATCCAGTCCACCTGATTTGGACAGTTTTAAAGAATATTATGAATATTGTATATATTATGTATGTGTTATGGAAGAAAAGCTAGGAAAATATCCAAAAACCACAAAGGACCTGGAATTTTGCCCAGTTTCTTTTAAGTGTATATTATTCCTGGTGTTTTCCGCCCCATAAATCTGAGGTGGCGTGAAACTGACATAGAACGACGCCTCAGTCCTGGTGATGTTACTTTGCTGGGCATCTATACTCACACTTATTTTGATGGGCTATTGAGCCTGGTAAAATAATGAGTGTCAGCTGATAGCAACATTATACATTTTGATTACAGAAATATTAATTGCAGGTAAGTAAGGATTTCCCACACTGGCTTCAGCTGTCATACATGGAGTGAAATAACATTTTTAACCAGCAGAGGGCAGTGATGGGAATCTCTAACATCTCACTTTGATTCAGCATCTGTATCCTCACTTTTTTGCCTTCACCTTTAATAAAAAGTGGATTTTGTCAGGTCAAAACAAGCATAAAGCAAAAGACATCTTTGTTTGGACCTACAACAGACACCAGGCTCATGTGCGGTGTGGTTTCAACCTTTCCCTGATGTAATGCCTGGTCTTTATAGTCCTGCTGTATTAAAATATGAGGCTTACATATGAGTTAAGTTACAGAACACGCATTTAAGAAAAGGTCTTCTCCAGTGAATCATAAAACAGATCAAACATCCAGAGTTACCCGTGGATTTTTCGGCTGTTGTTTTGTTGTTGAAATGATGAATTATTTCATGTTACTAATGCTCAAAAGTTATACAAAAAAAAGCTGTACAAAAACTAGATTTTGGCTTAAGATCAGTATCCAGTCAATATCTCCCTGTGACAGTTAACCTTAACACCGTGATTCAATTCAGCTTATATATTTAGTATTAATGTTGACATTTTTTTTAATGTACTTTAAACAAAATCGAGATGTAGGCATGTGTTATTGAGCTCATAGCAGCTGTTATTTTGTTGTTGTTTTCAGAAATATGTGGACCTCACAGGATGGCAA